AATTAATCATCAATTCTATTTACTGATTGATGCATTTATTTATTTATTTATTTAGTGAGACAAGAAAATAGAGAGTCGACTACTATGACGAATTCAGAAAGAAACAGCGTACGTTCAGAGACACTCACGCCGTTTATTTCAGTCGAGAGGGATGAAACAGACTCGTCGTGATGTAGGTGCATTTGACAAAGAAGTTGAAAAGGAATGTAGTCAGTCTGTCGTTGAAATAACTAACATTTTTTCTGTGTTTAAATAGCGAATATTCATTTAAGCCACTCCTAGATTTTAATTGTTTTTTTTTTATTTAACTTCAAAAGTCCATGAGTAAATAATAGAGTTATTATTTGAAGTGAAATAAAAAAAATCATCATAGAAATATTCAAATGCTGTTCATTGATAAATATTTATAGAAAATTACAAATAATTTAAGAATCAAGTATGATTATTCATAAAATTGTCTAGAATTAAGTAAGGAAGTATTCACCATGAAGTTGAAGTGAAAGTCATTTAATATTATATTTTTATGAATAACTTTTGAAGACAAAATGAACAAAAAAGTTTTTTTCATAAAAATATTAAATTATTGAAATTTTAAATAATACTTGTAAAATTTTTAGAAGATAATAATTATTCAAGGAATAACAATATTTATAATTATCTCAGAAATTATGTCTAAAAATTTCTGCAACTAATCCACGTGCTTGTGCATCATTAGAAAATAAAAGAATTAATTTTCCATTTATTATAGTGAATATTCCTCCAGGAAAAGCTTGTAAAATCATCTACATACATCTGAATAAATTAAAAAAAATATATATTTTCTAAATATTTCTTTATAATGTAAATAATAGATGTGTGTTTGTATAGAAAAGAAACGATAGCATTGTAGAAAAAACACTGATTTAAAATTCTCTACAGAATTCAATCAACTGTACGAATATATACCTGAATAAAAGTTTTAAGTAAGAATATTCCAGGGTATTGACATAAAAAAGTCAAAGTTCAGATATTGATCTAAAGACTGGTTATATAATATAAGTACTGGTAAGTAGTGTTATATTAAGCATTATGAATGAAATAAACTTTTGAGTGCTTTAAAATTTAAATTATAAATAAAACCTCAAGAAAGTAAAGAAATAAATTTCGAACAAGAAAAGTATTGTTGATGTTTAAAACTTTATTGAACATGACATAAAAATCACGATACACTGTAATGATAAATAATAGTTTTATTTTTGACTAATTATTAAGCATATTTTTAACCTTTTCGATATATTATTTGAATTTTTCAGTATCACCAAAATTTTTTAATATACATAAAAACTCGCTCTCAAATATATTAATACCAAAGAACTGTATTTTATTAACACATTAATGCTTATTTAAAACACGTGGAATGTGTAAAAAAAAATCACCAATAACGCATTGCTTCGAACAAATTTTATTTTTTTCTCCAATATCTGCTTATTTTTGTGAGTAATTAATTATTTGATTTATTGATGAATGCTAATGTCTTAATGAAATGTTCGAGGCTGGCGAGAGGTGAATAATTTAATAAACTAAATAATTATCATTCACAATAAATATTAATACTAAAAGCACAGTATTAAATAAACATTGTAATATTATCAATGATCGTAATAATAATAATTGGCGAATAACAATCATATAAAAAAAAGTGGATATAAAAAAAAAATTCTATTTTAATATTCGCCTATGCTTGTTTCTGGGCTTTTTTGGCAGTGATGTTTTTTAAGGCCATGGATAAGAAAAATACACTAAATGGAACAATTCTGTCGAATTTATTTAAAAAAAAAATAATGAAACATCATGATATGATTAACTATTAATTTTATAAAACTGTTTATCTATATTGAATTACTTGTCATTATTTTTACCAATTATCTATATGTCTATCAATGTATTATACTATTCTACAGCTTTTGTTTTCTCTTATCCATGCTATAAATAAATCCGCACAAAAGTCCCGAAAATTTATTACTAATAATTTGTAATATAATAATAATCATAATAATAATACAAAATATATTGCGATCTCTCAATAAATTATGAATCTTCGTAACTGTGCGATCCTGTGCCATGTAATAAACAATATTCAAATGACCATATGAAATGATTGATAATACTTTTTACATTACAACTATTTCTATTTATACTTAATTTTAATATGTTTATTTATTAATGTATATAACTTACTAATTGTTTATTAAAATACATTTTTTTCGATGAAAAATTTTTTAATTCTTTATTAGCAAGGCTCAAGATCGCTGCAATAAATAGATCGTTATTTCACCAACATATTACTCTAGTAACACTTCCATAATCCGTGAATTAAGTAGTACAACTCTTAATCACGGGCTAATCAGTTCAGGTTAGACGGGAGACTTATAAGTAATTATTAATAGAATTGATAAAAAATAATAATAACAATTATCTCTTATTTCAATCGATTCTATTAATAATAATCAAATAATTCTAGCCCAGCACCACAATATAACGATCTGACATTATTGTTTATCATCATTTGTTTCTCATTAAAGCAGTCTTACGTAAAGCGGCAATTCTTGGAAATAATTCATTATTTCCATAGAAAAAACTCAATCTCTTACTTTTACACTCAACTCCACGTGCATTCACTCATTAAAAACTCTCATTCAATCGAAATGCAGGATGTGTAGGCGATTTTTATTGTTTATTATTTTATGAACTTTAGTATTCTTTATCTTATTTTCATTTCACTCTTGATTTGGTTTCTTTTTTTGTTTTTAATCAGCCTGCTATGGCCTAAGTTTAGTCTTAGGTCATATGAAACGATATTGTACGACAAATTTTCGAGACGACTTGAAAGATAAAGTAAAGAGGAGAGAGTTACTGAATATTTTTATGATATTGCCAATTCTTTGTTGTATTGTTATTTATTTTTATATTTTTTCAGTATTTTGTTTTAGTTAAAAAAGAATATCTCTAAATACTAATTTTTTCTTAATAATTTATTTTCTTTCGTTAGCTTCCCATCTTTGCAAAATAAATCTATCTTAGAGCGTATCGTATCACAGAGTTACATACGGTATCGTTTAATTGTTCCCGGTTTTTACTACCGTGACAAAACTATCAATTTAATCTAATTTATCTTATAATTGAGGCAAAAGCGACACGTAAAATTAGAAAAAATATCGATCTATTTTATCTACACGCTCCGACAGAGAAGGTAAATAATTTTCAACTTATTTAGAAAAACATGCGATTTCTTTTTATTTTTGACAAAAATATACGTTTAATTACTGAATTAATTACGCTATCGCTATTCCGAAATTAATAAAATATCGGACAAATAGAACTGTTCATATTTTACGGTTGATCTTTTATAGGTGGAAAAATTTAATTTGCAATATTTTTCTTCTGTGAAAATTATTTTATTTCTCTGTTTATTTAAACAAAAATATCGCTTTATTACTGACATAAAAATATCACTCATATCTTTAGTATAGATAATGCAATTTGAAAACAAATTGTCATGGGACACGAAACTGCAAAAGGCCGTTCGCCGAAAAAATATTAGCAAATATTTGCCGAACACGATATTTCTTGCGAACAAATCACATTCCAATCACAATAAATAAATGAACTCAAAATTATTGTTCCAATTGACTATTGAATTTTTTAGTTATCAATTTACCTTGTAACTTATAATGTGTTCCTTATGATCAACAAATTTGTTGAAAAATATTTCAACAAAGTGAATAGAATTAACGATTAATACTATTAGCCTCTATTCATTCCGAACCCGTTTAACTTTATTATAAAATTACCAACCGATTACTAAAAATATATAAATCAAAAGTATTACAATGGAAATTCCATTGTAACAAATAACGATAAAATATTTATAGACTGTATGAGATTATTAATATTTTTTCAACTCTCTCATATTATTCTCTTTTTATTTTTTTTTTAATAAAATTGTAATCGCTTTATTTTTTTTTTCTCTTTTTTTTCTTCTTATTTGTTAACTTTTTATAAATAATTACTGATCGTCAATCATTTTCCCGTGATAATATCACTGGGAAACGGACTAGAGATAGTTAAGTTACTCCAGTAAATGAATAAAAAAATATAAGAAACAATACTAAGCCTCAATTTTGTTAAATTATCAATGAAATAACGTCTTATGTACACGAAAATACTTTAATTGAATGAAACAATTGATTAGAAGAAATTCCTTTTTTTTTCTAATAAAATTCGTTTCAGAGTACAAAAAAGTCATTGAAAATTTTTAATGAAATATTTAGTTTATACTATAAAATTATTTTGAGCAATAATTAATTGAAATAAATACAAAAAATCTTCGTTTTTTTTTTGTCAAAATTGAATAAATATGTACAATTTTATTTGTCCAATCCCTGGGTCATTTTTAAGTAATTTTTTATTTATTTCATTTTGTTAAAAAGAAATTTGTTGATTACTTCATTAAAAATCTCCAACAGAGAATTGATTTTAAAAAATCCATATGTATTTACAAATGACTTTTTTTGCTGACAATTAGCAGAATGTCACAAACAAACTGAAAAATCAGCAAGAACCCAAACGATTCCCCCAGGGGAAATAGAAAATAAACGATTTAGTAGACCAATCGAACTCTGTGATTGCTTGCATGTGGAAGAAACATAAAATGAATATCGCTATATATTCCGATAACACTAACCTTGAAGCGACTAGTCTCGTCCCCGTGTTTCCATATATTCCGAGTCAGAGAGTATATTTGTCGCTGGCATTCTACACAATAATTACCGAACCATAACCATACCAATACGTCATTATCAACATCATCACTTGTTATTTTACTTATAAGTCATAATCGACAATGTATCTTCGTATCTACCCCTCTGATTACAAAGCACTAAGATGTTGATCTTCAAAAGAAGTCTGCTCTGAAGATTCAAGTGCTGAGAGATCCTCGTAGATTCGTCGTCTCGATACCGCGGAGAAATCACCAGGCTGCGGACTGATCGGGGCATGATCTGGTCACCACGCCTCTGCTTCCCACGGTTTCTGCAGATGTAGGTGCTGAGGTGCGTCGGACCACGAGCGGTTTCGAGCCGAACGCAGGTGGACGGCCCAAAACCCCTTGATTGTTTCACGACAAGTTTCTCTGGTCCTCCGAACGGTCATCTGCCTTTTTTAAGGATCTTTTAAGTTTATCCACAAGTCGATTGTGAAATTTATTCAGGGAGTTGGAACTACCAGTCTTCGGTGGCGACGAACCTGTACTTTTGCATGGACTCTGGAGAGAGCTCTGTGATGCCCTAGAAGATGTTCTCGAGAAATGTCGAGAGGATACTGCAACTGAACGGTGTGCTGGTGAAGTCAGAAAATCAGAACCAGGTGAAGTCGATAGCGATGGTCCTTCTGATTTAGAACACTCCGACACCTGTGAGTCAATTGCAAAATAAATCAGCTAATGCTCAATTTGCTCCACAGCCAACACTCAATGATATCAATGCTCTCAAATGACTTTTGATTAACACGTGGATGATCATAGATGAGAAATTATCAAGAAAAAATGTTCCATTTAACCATACTGATGCGATTGAATATTTAACAACAAAATATTGAATTTTTATTACTAATACGAATAAATATTGACAAAAAGTTAAACGAATTTAAAAATAGAATTTTTATCATTATTTATTATTCGATGATTCAATAACAAAAATAACTTTACAAATATATTCATTAAAAACTTATTAATTATTTATAAACATTAAGTTATTTAATGGATAAATTTTTTTTTTATATACTGTCGTTAAAAAATAATCTTGAAAAAAGGTAGGTCAATAGTAACTTGAAAAAAATTTATTAAATTTGACAATTAATTAAGGCTTAATAAAACATTTTTTCCGTCTATAAATTCTCGTCCATTGCGTGTACAAAAAGCTTATCAGTGCTAAAGATGCAAGCAAAAAAGACATACCCACGAAGACACTCTCTATTCAATTAGATAAGTGTAAGAATTAAATTAACTTATTTGACCGTTTCTCAGGCCATCAATGCTCATCAGGAACGGAGTACCAAATTTGACGAATAAAACAAATCATCGAATTACTCAATTCAAACGTTCATTTATATGTAATAAATAATATACATAAACTGTCGGCGCCAAGTAATAATGACTAAGACTTTATTATATGAAAACATCTAAACTAACCAAAGGTTATATAAACATCAAATTTTTATCGAATTTACAATAGAGAAAAAAAATATTGTGACACTCTTTACTTGAGCAATACTAATCATACAGATGTATTTTCAAATGGCATAAAAATAAAATAATAACGACTAAATTGATTAAGTTCATTTAATGGTCTTTCATATACATCGTATGAATTTCAGTAATTTTGACAAATTATAAGTGTGTTAAAATAATTAAAAATGTTTCTCACTTGCTTATAAAGGTTTATGTTTGACAAAAAAATAATATGAGCAAATACATAAAATGAACTGAATAAGTAAAAAATATAAATACACCAGTACAATGAGATTAGCTTCTAAAAAATGAAGTGCAATAATTTGGAAAAAAGTTGAGTATCACTGTATGTTCCCCGGTGTGCGTGCACTTACGTTTAATTGACACATTAGCTCTAATATTGCCACTTAATAATTTTCGCACCATTTGATTATGATAGCCATTATCTATTAGTGCGGCATCAGTTTGCAAATTAAAATCTCAAAGCTGAAAGTCATCAATTAGATGAAATAAAAATAGACGTTATAAAAATATTCAATCACTTAATTACATGATTCTAATGAGTTTTACCTTGCAAAATAATTATTTTATCTTGACAAATAATAAAACATTGACATTCGATAAAAAGTATGATAATAAAAAAAGAAAAAGAAAAAGATGACACTGAGCTGTGTTTACATACCAATGTTGTTTAGTAAACATTCAATAAATGCGCGACTTTACACTCATTCTTAGATGTTTTCGTCAGAAATAATATTCTGTTGATAGTCTTTTTTTGTCTTTTCTAAAACGCGACTGTTTCAAAGTAGAAACATGTGCATGGTGACAAATGATCTTTCCAATCCAATAAAACTTGCCAAAAAATTTTCTGATATATTATACATAGTTTTTTGTATTTAAATATGAGATATCATTTTAATAATATGGAGAAAGATCCAATATTCATCATGTAATTTTATAATGTAGCCAATAAAAATGAATTTGTTTGCATTATATACTAAATAGCTTTAAATAGAGCTTATCTATGTCAGCGGTGATTTAATGGATGTTTTGAAGGATTAATAAATTTGTTTTTGAGCGATATAAAAAACTAGAGGTTTATGACATATTACGATTCATCGAGGCTAGAGTCGTCAGCAACCGTTATTCAAGCGTGTGTTTAATTCCCACTTCAATTTACTTTCTACACGAGACAAATAGAATACCGGAGATGCTTTACGAATACTTATACTTATAAAACGTCACGTGATACAAAGAAAATAGAAATAAAAAAAATTGGTGACATCGTGTGCTAGTGTGTTGACTCGTACACATTAAAAAATATACGTTTCAGTTGAGACTTGCGCAATCGAATACCAACCGGCGTGGAAATGAAAAACACCCTCAATTCGTTAATGACATACACTGAAGCGTGGGTTAAATTATTTGACAAATTTTCTCATACCAAGCCAATGAAAAAATAGCACATGACAACATAAGATACACGTCTTATAGACAAGAAAAATATGAAAAATGCAGATGACAACACTAGAAATGAGAATGAACAAAATCAATGGTAGAAAAGAGGGAGAAAGAGCTAAAACCCACACGTCATTTTTGCTTCCCTCTTTTCTGTCCTTTCTTCAACCATTTAATTTATTGTTCTCACGCTTACCTTCCGGCTTCGACATGTTTGAGGATTAGAGCACTCGGATGAACGTCGGCTGCGGTTTGTCTTGTAAATATCCCACTCATTTTTTACTACGGGCATCATAAACGCCATCTCGATAGTTCGTGATGCACTCTGCCTTCTGGAAGGTTCAAATCTCAAGAAATACAGCCGTGAAAACGTTTTAATAAACAAACACTTGACGATCTCGAGTTGACAAAATGATTAAATGACACTTGAATATTAATATAATACAATTCTCATGTGTTTCTCGACGTTACTTTCGCCAATTGTGTTTAGACAGTTGATCGATCGAAGTACGTTATATTCGTGTTCTGCTTTTCCAACCCAATATTTCGTGCGCTCTCGACGGCTGCCTGTTTCGGAATGAGTACGCTTGGCGGCGTGCAGCTGCTCTACAATAACTTTCGTAGTGGGGAGCGCGTAACTTTCATTCGCTAATCGTAAGGCGGGACTCCTACGTCACCACATCACCATTGATTTTCCTAGTGTTGATACACACCGGCAGCATGACCCTTGAGATTGATTTTTAAGTTTTTAAACGCAATAATGTTAGCCACTTGTCAAAAATGAGTGTCAATTATCATTTATTATTCCTCAATTATCACTTTCTTTTAAACACTCAATTGTTTACATTTCCGTGTTTTGTATGCTGGATATTGAAAATAAATAATATTCAAGGTCATTATTTAAAATCATTAGCTCCAAACAGCTGGCCTTGGAATGTTAAGGTAGTCTCTTTTGAGTACTACCTAGATTTCTATTTTACAAATGTAAAGTGACTGTGCGTATTCTTTTGTCTTTTGACTAACTCTCTCTCTCTCTCTCTCTCTCTCTCTCTCTCTATCCTATCCTCACTTTTCACTCTCAGATTTATACTAAAAGTACCAACAACGACGTAACACACTCAAGCATGTAGGCGTTGAAAAAAGTAAATTTAAAAATCGATATCACGGCTTCCGTACACCGACCTACACTTTTTCAACGACGTAGATTCTTCCACTCATTTTCTAAGTCGTTAATGTACATGTATGATTTCCTAACATGAGACGAATATATTTAAATATCTGCTTAAAAATAGAAAGCTCGTAAATAATTTCGTCTTATTTATAGAATAATCAGTAATGTTTGTTTACGCGTGTGAAACTCGGATTGTTTACTAAATTAATTCAAACTTGTATGATATATGATTAAATAACAGCCGATCAATTGCATAATAGTTTAAAGACTATTTATAGATTAATTGTTAAACAAAAATTTTTCAAAAATTTAAGTTGAATTTTTAAACAAAAACAAAAAGTACTCTTTCTTATCATATTACAGTAATTTATCATCATAAGTTCCTATTACTTTCTGTCGATAAAAAAGTTACCTGTCGGTAAATGCCACAAAAGCGGGAAAATTGTAATTTCAAATTCAAAATGACTTTCAAAATACAAACAATTATATATTTCATAAATTGGTATCATAAATACTTTAGAATAAAACTTATTTTATAGGATGTATTATTAATGATAAATTTACGAATTCAATTAAGTATTATTTTATTTCGATAGTAATAAGATCCTTCAATTGGTAAAATACTCAAATTTTTCAAAAATTCAGCTGTAATTCGATAATGAAATTAATTACTTGATTTACCGATCGTTGAAACTCATCAGTATTTATATCTTTATTGCCAGCTTTCTTTGATATTGTGAATTATTTTCATACTCCTACGATATCACAGCAATATGACTTATTCTTAAGAGTGAGGTGCGTTCACTTCGCATATTGATTTTCTTCCGTATGGTAGTGAAGTAGTAATATGATCATTAGAATTCAAACCAACGTGTCAGTTATATCAATTGCAATATCTGCTAAAGTAGAATTAAAAAAACAATACTTGCGTAATAATTTGACAACATTTATGATAAAAGTTAAAAGGAAATCAAACCGAATAATAGAAACAAACCTTTGAAGTGAGGAGTGGTTTCCGGTATAAAGTGGGGGAGGAACTTTAGTAGGACATTGGTTCATATTATGTATTTTCAGTCATCGGATCCAATACAGTTCTGTTTTACTAGCGCGCCAGCCGCGTGGAACGCGCCAGTATTACTCCTTGTGACTTCCCTGTCAAACCACTTCCACATCAGGATTATTGTCTACTTTGGTAGAAACTAAAAACCATAAAAAAACATTACAATGTGTTCATACAATCAAAAAAATATATTTTTTAATGCAAGTTTCAGTGATAAATTAAATATTGTTTGATAATTTATTCAAAAATACTTGTCAATAAGTTATCCAATTTGTTGTGTATAAATCGTTGTAATTTAATTTAAAAAAATGGTTTTCGATCCAGTTACTACTGAACAACGGAAACAATTTTTCAGACAAGGCTATGGAGCTCACGTGCCTGGGTAAATTACGATTAAAATCAATTTATATCTTTTGTACCATTTGCCTAGATTGTTTTGTATTTTAAATAATGATAATAATAATGAAAATAAGTTTATAGCTATAGACACTGATAATTTAATCATCATGAATTATAGATGCTAATTAAATTAACACCTTCCAATTTTAAGCTCAAAAATATTAGTATTCAAAACTAAAATAGTAGCAACTTGTGAATAATAACGTTTGCTTGATAATAAAATAGGTAGACAATTCTTCAAAGTTCTAACAAAAAAAGTACCTACCTTCAATACACTGATAAGGATTGAGCTTTCCACGTGTTTATTGTTTACTAATAGTCACCGAGCGCCTAGACTTATTTTTCAAAGTTAGATGAATAACAATTTATTGTTATCATAATCACCTTCAAGTCAATTATAATTCAAAAAAAAAAAAATTGATCAAATCTACAAAATTATTTTGTTTTTCATTTTTAAATTAGAATAATATTTTTCCGATTGAATTCATGATACGACTCCGTTTTATATATTTAATATTAATGGCCTTTATTAGTATTTTTCCGTTTATCTTTAATCTCTTAATAACAATGATATTCATTTATTTTAAAGATGTAATGATTAAAATTATTTCGTCGTTTAATAAAAAAAAAAAAAAACAAACCATAATAAATCAATTGAAATCATTGATAGAGTGCCCAATGGTTTTACAAGAAAAATTAGATCAACTTAACAAATAAACTATGAAAATATGTACTGACGTCATAAGTAAGGCAATTAACATTTATCAGAGCATTAATCAAATAAAATTTAGGCGCATTATTGCTCAAAGAAAATATTTGGAAGTCTTTGAAAATTGTAGACTGGTACCAGGTAACACCGTGAAGGTACTTTACCACGCGAGCTCATATCACGCACAAAACTCCTATATACTTTAATAACTCTATACCTCTCACCCAGCATTTCTGCTCCGAATGTTCCATTAAACCCATTAGATGTACCCTTCTTCTTCCCTTCATCGATTCGATAGGTGCCTATAAGTGTAAAGCCCAACTTTCATTGCCATGAAAAAATTCCAACCGCAATGCAGCCGAAGTAAAGATCGATTGGACTTGTTTTTTCCATGTTTTTATCAAATTACTGATTTCATATTGTTTGACTAATAGCTAGGTATTATCAAGGTGAAGCGGTTCACTGATGCGCACCAGTTATTGTAGCGTCACTACTCAAGCGTTTGGTTATAATTTAATGGTTCGTCAATGATCAAACCCTACTATTTAACTGTTTTATTTCGTTGATCTATTACAATTATTTCACGAGATGGTCATTAAGACACATATGATAAGACACATGACTTGGCATTATCAACCGTAATTCTATAGTTCTTCAAAACATTAGAGTACCAATTTTGACATGAGTTTCTGTTGCTCTTTCTCCAGATACACTGGACACTGTCCAACCCTGAAGTTCCGTGTCGGAAAAAGGTTTGGAGCTAATACAGAAGAAATCATGAAGGTCAGTTTTACTGGTTCATATTTTAGCACTAGATTATTTATAAATTAATTTGATAACAAAAGAAGTAATGATCAATAATTATGTATATTGCAGGAATTATTAGAAAAAAAGGTGCTAAAGACAGGTCCCTATCGACCGAACTCAGGAAAGGATGTTCTAACACCAATAACTCGAGAAAAAGACATAAGAAGAGATTGGAAAAACGAAGCTCATTTTTATAAGACTTCACCATTCATTTTAGGATACACAGGATATATACCAGGATTCAACAGTAAATATGGTCTTCCATTTATGCGAGCAGTTGAAGAGGGTGGCAGGGAATGGCGAGAAATGCAAACTAAATTAAGAGCACGTAGAGATACCATGCGTGTTCATATTGAAAGAACTAATCCCAGGAATTTGCTTTCACGTGCTAGAGCAGATAATGTTGACATTGAAATTGATCATGGACATGACAAAGATAAATTATTTTTTGGTAACTAATAAGTTATTAATAATAAAAATTATTTCTATGCTATAATAATCATTTTGTTAATTCGATGATCATTAAATTTTAAATGACAATCTACTCATTTATTTAATTAATAACTTTGAATTAAAATTTTTAAAAAAGCTATTAGTAGCCATCATCAATTTTTGATAAAAAAAGATTGCATGAATTTAGAATGTATTTATTATTATTCAAAGATTTTTTTAAGTTAAAATTGACTTTTAATGAGTAATTATTAAGAGTTATGATCATTTAAAATAAAATAATATAAACTAGTCAGAAATTAATAAGAGAGAAAGGTACTACCGGATGCTTGATTCCTATGCTTTTACTAACGGAATTATAATTAGCTCTGTACTATCTTTGATTCTGATATTGACAAAGAATACTCTTCTTTATTCTAGTCTATCATTCAACAAAACATTCGATAACTCAATAATCAATTCAATATACTAACAATAATATTGAATTACATAAGTCAGATTTAGCAGTTTTTAACGTTTCTCTTTTTTTACAATACATAAATTATATTTAACAAAATTTACACAATTTTCTATTTTTAGATATCACTGTTTAAAATACTTTTTTTAACCAAAATAATTACTCTTTGTATTCTGTAGTTAATCAAGTATCCCCTGAAAGACCACCAATCGTTGGCTATACTGGACACATACCTGGTGCTAAAAGTGAGATAGCTCTGTCAAGGAGATATGCACAGGCTGCACAAAAAGGCTTAGAACTACTTCAAAAACAGCGAGAAAGTCGACTGGATGCAATCAATGATTCAAACTCAGTACAAAGAGTTCTGGATGCAACGTATCTTGACGATACTGGCCATACCAGAGCATAATTTTTTTTACCTTATTTGGCATTGAAAGTCACCGATTATATAGATTTAGAATCTATAAGATAATAAAGTAAGAGTATAATCTTATAAGTACAATATTCCGTCCGAAATTTGAATTGATTCTGAAGAGTAATTCTAAAGATTAAAAATAAATAAAAACGAGTAAACAAGTAATTGGAAAATTCTCAGAATAATTTCTTTGTTGAAATATTCTCGATGAATACATATTTTATCACATCACATTACAGCTACTTTCATTTCTTATATGTAAAAACAATTTTATGTATCTAAAATTAAGAAATGAATCTTAGCTTTAATGTTTAAGATTTGAAGGTGAATAATTTTTTATTTTATCTTAAAATATTTATAAAAAATTATTAAATTATGTAAATTAATAAATAATTGAATGTTATCATAAATCTGCATAAAGTTATTGTAATTAGAATATAATTTATTCTCGTCGTAAACAAAGAGTAAATCATTAACAATTGTTTATTGACAATGTTTGTATTGATTTTACTTATTTTAACAGTAGAATTTCTCAAAGGTTTGACAATTTGGGGCTCTTAGACTTTTGAGAGAGTACTAAAATGTATATAAAAATACTGCACAAGCTTGAGCCAATAATTGTTAAGATACATTGAATAATGTATCTCAATACTTTTAAGTAAAAAATGAGTCGATTCATGAAAATTAGAGTTTTGAGAGAGCAGACCTCTGAAAGATTCTACTGTATTATTACTATTATTCATTCATTACGCCGTGGCAGTCTGCTCATACGTTCATTCTCAAGACCAAATGCTTGCTTCCAACGCTCAACCGTTAATGAATCCTCTCCATAAGACATAGCCATTAATTTAGCAAATACTATCATAGAATGTAGATTGTCAGCAGTCACAAACTTATTTACCTTTCTTAATTCTACAAAATCTTCCTGAATAACACTGCAAATATCTTCACCAGGTACAAACGTTATGCGTCGACATGATTCTAAATAATATCGAATATTATTTAATCTATTTTCACCTGATAAATATTGATTTGCAGCCTCTACAACTTGAGCATACATATCTTCAGTTTCTGGATCGCTTTTCAATGGAATTTGCATAATACAAGGTATAAATGATTTCACTTTAGATAAAATTAACACTGGAATATCAGTTTCATAATCCAGCGCATAAAATTTGAAATCATAACTGAGTTTTTGAAATCTAGCTAAATCACTAATTGCTCTGTAATTTAATTGACCACTAACAGAAACTTGTCCACTTGTTAAATTAGTTTCATCAATAATTAAATGAGTATTTTTACTTAATTGTAACATTCCACTGGTTAAACGATTCGAATCATAATCCTTTTTAGGAACCAGACTTAACTCATTAAGAGCATCTAAAGTACACTCAAAATAATGGCTTTTGGCAACAATTTTTGATAGAAAATTATAAATATCTTTAGGAAATGTTGAAAACTTTCTAGGAAAGTTGGTAATATTTAACGGAAAATTTCCAAGGCATAAAAAATCCCGTCGCATATAAACTGATGATAAGAGATGGCAGATTACAAAATCAGCAGCTAAATTATCACCAAAGAGCAGTTGGCTCAAAACCATGTGTAAATCACCTCTTACCATGTTGATATGTGACAAAAATTCTGGTTGCATTGTTAATTCTGGGATCAATAATAATGGTTTAGCTATAATAGCATGCACCCGCGGAATTATTGATGCTGGTGGATGATGAATTTGAACTTCAATATTATCCAGATACTCGTCAGAATTGTTCACATGACTTAAAATTGGATCCTTAGAAATAAATCCAATGATTTCAATTAATTGATTTAATTTAAATGTGGGACAGTCAGCATAAACCTTAACAATAGCTGATTTTCCATCATCAATTGGTATCGGAAAATTAAGTAAATATTCCTTAGAAACGACCATTGGTTTCTTTTCATCTGTGTCCAATGCATCTGTTTGTGACTCATGTTTATCAGACTTCTCTTTTTTTGGCGCAGGCTCTAAGTTACTAGAATCCATTGGCTCACCTTGATCATCTTCAAGTGACCTTTTTCCAGCCGGATTACTACAAGACGAGTTGCTGTTTATTTTCCCTGGTGGATTCAACTCTTTTGCCCATGGATTCAGACCAGGGATAGAAATTACAACGTATGTTTTACGTTCATCACGTTTGTTATTACTTGACTCCAAATTCAGTTGTTCATTTTTCTGAAAATAAGTTTCCGTTAATTATATTTTTTCTACTATTGTTCATTAATAAATGAAAATTTTTTTTTTAAATAATGTTAATCTAAAAAATGTAGGCAGTATCATACATGAGGATAACTATTCTTAAAGCTCCCCACACCTGGTACTACCAGATATCAATATTATTCTAGGCCTTGCATTATGTCTGGATTATGAAGATAATTCATAGAGACAACAATGAATGCTCCTTATGGCCAATGAAATTCTTTTATATTAATTATTTGAGTGTAAATAGTAATTTTTAATAAATGATTATACTTACTGCACATTTCATAATATCTCTGTACATTCCACTTTTAAGATAGCATTCTCCAGTTTCTAAGTTTTTTACTTCAAAATTTTCATAGTAATGTTCAGGATTACGTATATCTTGTACCATCCCTTCATACCTTACTAACTGACCATCTCTGAAGTCATCAAGGGGAAAGTAATTTAATGATGGGATTTCCCTCAGTATATGAACGTTTCTAAGTATTAAATTGCAAGTTGGTTTGTTTTCAATGTAGTAATCAATGGTCCAATCATTAACATTGGTTCCTAAACAACCATTTTAAGTACATACTGGTATAAGAAATTTTTATCCAAAAATAAAAGTAAAATTGAAAATATTAGTCATTATTTTTTGACGTTAATGATATGTTATTCAAAATTTATTAAAAGAATAATATAAAATAATTAGTTTTAATAATCTCATTATAAAATATGTATTAATACTTTTAGAAATTTTCGAAAAATTCCAATAATCATGTTTATTTATTCTCTGATTACTTTGTTAATAAAATCCCGCCAATTTTGTTACGTTGTTAGCAACAGGTTTAGATATTTGTAAAAGAAAAGTCACTCTCTGTCAATAAATGTCATTCAGTCAAAAATATTTGAAAAAGATTTACAATTGACATAAATCCTTACCTGACATCATTGTCAAATATGCTCCATGAACTGAGGACAAAAGGGACCAAATAAATTAGACGTTTTTTCCCAGCACCGGTTCAGGTATTTACCAAGATGGCCGTAGACAATGAGTGGTACAGAGAAGAAACAACGCTATTATAATATAGCTTTTCGATGCTATTATGTTGACAAGTGATCACAATTTGAGCGCCATCTGATCAGCTGAATGAGTTACTAAATACGATGTGACATGCGCAATGACACAATGATGCACTAGCACACTGTGACGACCGTCTGTGAGGTGCATAGAGCACACAGAGTGTCTTATCGCTTTCTACTGTGAGTGTCGTGACTCCCCGCGCTTCACATAAATTCATTTTAACCCAGCATTCGCCATCGCATAAAAATCAGCAAAAATGTCTACACAACCACATAGTAAAAAACGTGTTTGTTATTATTATGATAGTAAGTAATTTTAGTTTATCAGAATTTATTTTTTACTAATTAATAATGGATAAAGTTGTCCACTCGGAGCTTGTCAAAATGTATTTGCCGAATCGACGCTCTAATCACGTACACCACATTTGATTTAATAAAATTAATTAATATTGTTAATTATTTGAATGTGTTGTAATTGATTTTTAATTAACTATACCTGGTACATCTAATGATGTAAAAATATTGTGAGAAAGTGAAATTTTTTAATGTTTAATACAGTTTTCCACTCGATAGTGCGAGAGATTCTAAATCATTCTTTTCATATGACCGTAGTTTACGAAAGACGCCATGCCTGTCGACAACCGTACCTTACCTGTGAATCTCTCGCCTTAGATTTCTGATTTGTGTATTTTTTATATATAGATATATGACAATTGATAATTTTTTTATATATTATCAATCAGATTATTGCTCTCATTAATAATATAAAACTTTTTTGGATTATTTATTTAAATAATTATGTTTTTTAAGTCATCTAACTTTAGCGTTCATGTCTACAAGACATGTATTTTTTTTTTTTTTATTTTGTTTGAGAAAATTTAAATGAAATCTTAAAACTTAATAATGCTATACTTAACATAATTGGTGTTTTTTTGTGTTTTAGGTGATATCGGAAATTATTATTATGGACAAGGACATCCCATGAAACCTCATAGAATAAGGATGACACATAATTTATTATTAAATTATGGATTATATAGAAAAATGGAAATTTATGTAAGTACTATTATCAACTAATTTTATTAAACTCATTATTAACATGAAATTCTTTTATTACTGAATTTCTTTTTCAATCAGTAATTAATTTTTGGAGCTTCTTTTCAATCATTATTGGTTATTATCCCAATATATCTCATATTTTTGCTGTTATTAATTATAAATTTCATTAGTTTATGCAATTAATTATTTTAATTTGTTGTTTTTTATAGCGTCCCCATAAAGCAACTGCCGATGAAATGACTAAATTTCATAGTGATGAGTATATTAGATTTTTAAGATCAATTAGACCGGATAACATGTCAGAGTATAATAAGCAGATGCAAAGATTTAATGTTGGAGAGGATTGTCCAGTTTTTGATGGTCTTTACGAATTCTGTCAATTATCAGCTGGTGGCTCCGTAGCAGCTGCTGTAAAACTAAATAAACAAGCATCAGAGATCTGTATCAATTGGGGTGGTGGTCTCCATCATGCTAAAAAAAGTGAAGCATCAGGATTTTGCTACGTCAATGATATCGTCTTGGGTATTTTAGAGTTGCTCAAATACCACCAACGAGTATTATATATTGATATTGATGTACATCACGGTGATGGTGTAGAAGAAGCTTTTTATACGACTGATCGAGTAATGACGGTATCATTCCATAAATATGGAGAATATTTTCCTGGAACTGGAGACCTTCGAGATATTGGTGCAGGAAAAGGAAAATATTATGCAGTCAATATACCTTTAAGAGATGGAATGGATGACGAAAGTTATGAATCAATCTTTGTACCAATTATTTCTAAAGTTATGGAAACTTTCCAGCCTTCAGCAGTTGTTCTTCAATGTGGAGCAGATTCATTAACTGGAGATAGACTGGGATGTTTCAATCTAACTGTACGTGGGCATGGGAAGTGCGTAGAATTTGTTAAGAAGTACAATTTACCATTCCTTATGGTTGGTGGAGGAGGATATACCATCAGAAATGTATCCAGATGTTGGACTTATGAGACTTCAGTTGCTTTAGGCTGCGAAATAGCCAATGAACTTCCTTACAATGACTACTTTGAATATTTCGGACCTGACTTCAAACTCCATATAAGTCCGTCCAATATGGGAAATCAAAATACGGTAGAATATTTGGAGAAAATAAAAACCAGACTATTCGAAAATTTGAGAATGTTACCGCATGCACCAGGAGTCCAGGTGCAAGCAATCCCTGAAGATGGTGCTAATATTGAGGACTCAGAAGCTGAGGAGAAAGTAAATCCTGATGAAAGGCTACCTCAGCGTGATATAGATAAAAGAATACAACATGAAAATGAATACAGTGATAGTGAGGATGAAGGAGAAGGCGGAAGACGTGATAATCGATCATTTAAAGGATCCAGAAAAAGGCCGAGGCTAGAAAAAGGTCAAGAGCCAATGGAAACTGATATTAAAAAAGAAGATGACATTAAGTCTGAAGTAAAAGGTGAATATTTTTAATAATTAACCATGTTTAATGATTTTTTTTTGTTTTAAAATTATTACTACATTTTTTATCATTTCATTATTTAAATGAAAGTTTATTTTATTTCAAAGCAATTTAGACCAATTTAATAATTTATCAATGTTCATTTTACAGAAAATGAAAAAGACGACAAATCAAATGCTGTCATTGAAGACTCGAAGAAAGATGGAGCAGCAAATCCTTGATAAAAATATAACCATCGGAAGTTAATAAATTTTGAAAAAAACTAAGTTAATTAAATAAATTTTAAAAATCATCATAGGTAGTATGAGTGTATAAGAGTCCTCCATGTCATAATTCTTGCTGCCTCGAATGCATATCTTTCTGTTTCATGACTAAATTCTCCCTCTGTACAGGTATCATGTTAATTTTTTTTTTTGTTTTTAATAATTTTTTAATTGTGCATTCAAATCATGTGTTCGTGGCGAGCAATGATCAACTGATCACGAGGGATTGATTGAAATTATTGCAAAATACACAAGAATGTTATTTTAATTATAGGTCCAATATTACTCGTTAGATTTTTTGTTCATTAGATATTAATTAAATCATTATATCGTAATCTACTGATGAAAGTGCACAAAAATAAGTAGAGTTACCTTTTGCAACTCTGATAAGTAAAGTGAAGCAATCCAATTAATTAATTTAACTTCCAATTTTTGTACATATAAAAATTGAATTTTGCAAATAATTGAAACATACACGAGTTTTTTCTCTCGTATAAAAAATATCTTCTTTTATATGTGAGTAATGATGATAAAATTATGAATGCTTAGAGAAAAGAAAAGAAATGAATATAAATATATATATATTTAATTACTGTTCAGATTTAGACTTAACTTGACACTGCATCAGAAAAATATTTAAAACAAACTAGATCTCATCATTTATTTATATCAGTAATAGTTTACAAGTTTTTTTTGCGATAAATTTCATATAATATTTAGAACTGTATACATCTACATGTGAATGTTAATTTGATAAACACTATTTTTTACAAGGCATTGTTCAAAGTACGATTCATTTCTTTTTAAAATAATTTGTTTATGATATTTAAGAATAAAAATAAAATAAAATTAAGTTATCTCAAATTATAAGAGTTTACAAATGAATAATAACGGCTAAGTCAGACTCGAGTTAATAATTAGTTAATGAACAGTCTGAAGTTATAATAATCAAAATCTAGTCCATTTTGAAAACATATAACATCAGGTTTTTCATTAAAAAATTGTGATTTAAGTTAGGTTTCATATATTCTAACAATTATACATCTTCTATTTACTGTCTGGCTACTCCGTTGCTAAATTTTAATGTAATAAGTGAATGAATAATTCATCTGTCTATGATGGTGTGATGAATTGATTTTTGTGCTCTAATATAGGAAAAGTACAGTGTTTTTAAATATTTATAATAAAAAATAAAAAACAATTCGATTTATACTTGACTTTTTTTTGTTTATTTCATGCTATTATTTGCATTTATTATCAATAAAGTGTAATCACAATATCAATATAAGGATATAAAAACATTTTACATGCTTAATAAATTGTTTAGCGTTAAATTTTAAATAATTTTATCTTCATACCAAAAACTGGTTTTTATCATCATATCGTAATTCAAAGTAATCAGTTTTAAAATATTTATAGCAAAAACAGTAGTATTTTAAGAGACTGTTTTTTATCGTTGTCCACGCATTTTTCCAGTAATGTGAACATGGTTATAGTTGACCTACGTAAACGGTCTGTTTATCACTCAAATTTAGCCACGTTTACATTTAAAATGTTACATATCAGCAGTATGGCGTATGTAAATTATATACTTTAGTAAGTTTCAATTATATTAACAAATAATATTTAATTATTTACTTTATTTTTAGGGTAATTTTGAGAATCTCACAGTTAAACTTCAGAAAATTACAACCTTAACCTCAAATCTCTAAAGGACGTCGTAGAAAATTTTTTCATTTGATAAACATTAATGTGACAAAGAAAAATATTCATTCTAATGTTTTCGTTGTATTTTATTAATTTTATTATTATTTGACACATGAAGAATCGTAAATTAACAAAGGTCAATTCGTATTTATTTAGAGAATAATGGTAGATGTGACATTCGCTGCTTTAAGTTTCAATAACAAGTAATTTAAACTAAAATAAAATTATAAAATTCTTAAGGATTGTTGAAAATATTTAAAGGACTTCAAAATGATTCCATACGCTTCTCACGTGATGACTTTGGCCAACAGTATTATTGGAGTTAGTGTCTTAGCAATGCCGTTTTGTTTTAAACAATGTGGGATAATTTTAGCAGCGTTAGTTCTAGTATCATGCTGTTTATTATCAAGACTAGCATGTCACTTCTTGATAAAATCTGCTGTTATGTCAAGAAGAAGAAATTACGAATTTTTGGCATTTCATGCTTTTGGACCAATGGGAAAATTTTTGGTTGAATTATTCATTATTGGCTTTCTACTAGGCACATGCATCGCATTTTTTGTTGTTATTGGCGACCTTGGACCTCAAATACTTGCAAAAATCTTAAATAAAAATCCAGAAAATATTAGAACTAGTTTTTTGCTAACTGCTGGAGCTATAATTGTTTTACCTTTGGGTTTATTAAGAAATATTGACAGTTTAGCTAGCATTAGTACCATTACGATTGGATTTTACATATGTTTGGTCTTGAAGGTATATATTTGATATTGAATTATTATGATTGACATTTTTTTTTGCTCCTAATTATTTTTTATGATTTTCAGATCATTGTAGAGTCGATGGGACATATTTTTAGGGGAGACTGGTATGATAATGTAAATTATTGGAGGCCGACAGGCATTCTACAATGTTTACCTATTTTTTCAATGGCGTTATTCTGTCAAACTCAGTTATTTGAAATTTATGAATCTATTGAGAATCCTTCTTTAGAGAAAATGAACACTATTGTTAGAGGGGCCATGAATATTTGTACACTTGTTTACCTTTGTGTTGGATTTTTTGGATACGTTGCATTTTGTACACAATCTTTCTCAGGTAAGAATAATATTAAAATATAATTATAAAAATATTTATAAAAATATAATTTTTAGGAAATATTTTAATGAGTTTTGAACCAAGTCTGACGTCTGATGTAATAAAAATAGGTTTTGTCTTATCAGTTGTGTTCAGTTTTCCTTTAGTGATCTTCCCTTGTCGAGCAAGTCTGAACTCTCTTTTTTTTCGAAGGGTAACTAACTCTTATACCATTTTTTTACATTTCTTAAACATAAATACTAATTAAAATAAATTTTTTTAAAGGTTTATCTACATGAGACTGCAAGTAATTACATTCCAGAAACAAGATTTAAATGTTTAACCATTACTATTGTAACAGTATCATTAATAATAGGACTTTTAATGCCTAATATTGAATTCGTTTTGGGTTTAGTTGGTTCTACAATAGGCGTAATGATATGTTTAATATTTCCTGCTGGTTTTTTTATCACAATCAGTACAAAAAATACTAATGAAAGACTGGTAGCTCAAGTTATATTGTTTATTGGAATGTGGATTATGATATTAGGATCGTATGCTAATTTGTATGCTATTGAAGAATCTTCGACTACCAGGGTATCTGTAGTTACAGAAAAACCTTTCCTTCCCATCAATAATATTCATTTAAGTGATATCAATGATCATCCACCACTCATTCCTCAAGTTAAAGAACTGATTTCTAAAGAAAAAGGTAAAATCATTTCATTGTATTATATTTGATTTTAAATAACTTTTTTTTTTATATTCACAGAAAATTTAATACCGGATCTCAAAAAGGAAGTAGAAAAACCATTTGGAGCTGGGGAACCGTGGCAAGAACCCTTGATTGCAGTAGAACGACCAATCGAGATTAATAGATCTGAAATAAAAACTCCAAAGCCAAACAATATCTCCTTAAAATCTGAATTTAAAAAAGGATCAAAGAAAATTAAAATAATGAATAAAACTCTCAAGACGGATGAAAACAATTCCATTAAATCTAAAGATAAAGCCACGGAAAATGAAGTGATAAATATGGAACCACAAATACAGGCAAATAACGATTTAAAAAAAGTGAATAATCAGCCAGTGCGTGATGATTCTATCAATGTTGATGCTCTAAAGAAAGAAGACTTAGAAATAGCAGCAGCTAAAGAAGTTTCTGTTGTTGAGTTTGATAAGAAGAATGATCAGTCCGACAATAAAAAGATGAATAATGAAAATAGTGATGTAGAAGACAAAAGATTATTAAAGCAAAAGGATAAATCAGAAAATGACAAGGACGAATTCAAAAATATACCAGAGAAGAGAAATTTAGATAAAAATGAAGCGATTTTAGATAGTAACAATAATAAGAGTGAGGAAAGAAAAGAGATCCAAGTACCTTTAGCAAACGTGCCTTTAGTGGAGTCTCAAGGTCTTGTTTCTAAACCATTATTAGATTTGTCATCTAACACATCGAACTCTCTGATAATTAAAAATAATAATAGTCATATGAATAACAGTGATAATAGTAATATCAATAACAATTTTAACAAAAGTGATAATAAAACAGATGATTTATATTTAAGCAAGAGAAACCAATACCCTTTACCAATTGTTCTAAAAATGGTGAATCAATCAAAAGAAAAAAATAGTCCCATATTAAATGAAGAAAATAAAGTGAAAAATGATGATGATTCAGCATTAGCAGTCCATCGAGATATTTTAGAAGAACATGTAAGAGAGAAACGTAATGCAGATGAAAATGTAATAATTTCCAATGTAATGGACCAAGAAATGATAGGCAACAGTGTTGTACAAGAGATAAGTATTGATGATAATAAAACTTCAAGTTGTCCGAGAAATGAATCGAGGAAATCAAATGAAGAACTGAGTAGTGTTATTAAGAAAGAAATTGAAGTTCCATCTACTACGGAACCAATTATTAAAACGAATGCTTATTTAACAAATCAGAAATTTACTGATGCTATCTATTTAAACGAAAATCTATCTATAAATCTTGAATACCAAATAGTGAAAAAAAGAGATTTAAAAACATTAAAACCTGGTTGATAATACTAAAAGAATTTATTAGTATGTATAATAGACTTGTGTATTTATTTATTTCATGAGGGAATTAACTGAGTAATTGAATAATTGATAAATCATGAAATTATCGTAATATTTTTGTAAATACTGAGGGCATTTACATTTAGTTATTTTGTTATATTATTTAACCTTCATCATTAGTGATGTCAATACTGATTTAATGAATAAATAAATTAGTATAAGTTGGAAAATTTTATATATAATTATGAAGCATGTACATGTAAACTAATTAATATTTAGCGTAATAAGTCTGTGAGATTTTTAAGTTAATGTTGCAAAGACTAAAATATATCAAGAAAGGTATTTTTAAAATAATTATCTGGAAATTATTTATTATTAGTTGAACCATTGTATTTCACAATTATAAAAAAAAAACTTGATAGATCAAGTAAAAATTCACATTTTTTAATTTATCGAGCTTTTAAATAACTATGAGTAAGTATAATTTTTATTAAATAATATCAACGCATTTAGATTGATAGAATGCGTTTTTTAGATGAAAAGTTTGAAAAATTTTTAAAAATTAAACATATTCAGAAGACATAGAATAGCATTAACGTAATTTTTATACGTATTTTATAGATTTTGTTGGAACAGGTCGATGATTACCACTATTGTCACATCGATTGTTCGAGTTTGTTAGTTATTTCTACGGAGAATAAGTACAAACAGCTCCAAGGTAAAGGTGGCTAACGTTTCAGACAACCATTCACTCTTGTTCAGTTAAAGATAAAATGTTGTGGAAACACTCAAGTGACACTTAAGTGATATTTTTTGTGAACTATCACAAATATAAATTATTCTTATCATATGAAAATTGTGTTAATTTTACTGTGACCATGGCTTATGACGGAGTAAGTAAAATTTAACAATATTTTACTATCTTTAAATAAAACATTACAAGTATTTACGATTCTAATTTCACTGATAAATCATATTTATTACATTGTTTAATGTTATAATTCATTATATTTTATAACTTGTCTAGCGATTGCGCGATACGCATGTTTGCATCTTTAACAGAGCTTTCACACCTGTGATCCAGTGGTTCCAGGTCTTGAAAAGTCAAACAGAAGCTGCGCTCGTAACTATCAAAGTTACCGGTGTCAACATTTGTAATTTTTTAGTAAAATGTTTTGTTATTCATCTTAATTGTTTACTGGACATTTGAACGATTTGATATGTCCACGGAAAAAGTAATTATACTTTTTTTCATTTTAAATAAAGTAATAAATAAATGGAAAGTCATATACTTAAAACTGTGAGTCGACAGGTATCATGTACGAGCTTATTGATCGACCTAGTCACCTCATACACCTACGTGGACAGTTCTAGATAGTGTTACACATTCTCAACCATTCGTTTTTATGTGTATATATATATATATATATATATGAAATACCTGGAGTATTTGTAATTCGAATAATTCAAAATAAGGAAATTAAGTGCAACAATTATTATTTATTAGAAACAAAAAGTTCTATCACAGATTCATAAGTGATTATTTTGTCTAAGCTAACCATGTTCATTTTCATCTTTAACTATTTTTTGTTTGATTAAATTTTGAAAATTTGATCAAATAAGTTATTGAAAGAAACATTTTACTTAATTTTAAAGTGATAATAAGAATCATTTATATTTTCTATCATTTCGAAATTAAATAAACTACACGTGGCCGTAAGGAACTTATTCTTGGATATTGAAGTATGTGAATTTGGTTTACATTTTATGAAGACAACACTTACATAAATAATTCAAAAGAAGTTATTATTTTTCAATTTAATCGCTGAAAAAAAGTAGTTATCAGATATCAGTTTAATTGTAACAAGAGAATTAAAGTTCAACAGAATTATTATTTATTTTATTGAGTTTACGATATCCAATAATTTAATTTAAAATAATGATTGCATTGGCTGTGAACTATTATTTTAATAATCGCTGTTACATCTGATATCTAATAGGAAAAAAACATTATTTTAATTTGAATAAACTGCTCGTAATTTGATATAATGCACTAAACTCTCATTTATGACCGTTGTATACATATATGTATATTGTATGTGTAGTACGTCCAATGCTTAGGCCGTCACGGGCGAAATAATGTTGTTATGATTGTAATTTCCGTTTGCAAAGCGAAATATTCTTCTGATAAAGTGCAGAACTGTTTATATTGAATAAAATAAAATTGTAGAAAAAAAAAAACTGTAATTAGTAAGAACCCAGTAATTTCTCATCGATATAATGAGGATGTGTATTTAAGGTTAGAGTTATTTCACTTATCACTTTCCTCTGTAATAACACGTTTAATACTTTTAATTATCATTGACACAAGGATTTAGTTAGTTATCAACACTACAACTCAACTAATTAACTTATAAATTTTTATTATTTAATTGACAAAACGGAGGTTCTACCTTTACACAGAACGCGAAATGCACTTTCGCGTTTTAAAAATAAATATTCATTGTCTTCTCATCTTTGGCAGGTATTTGTTCATCCACACAACTATTATCTAACTATTACTTCTTTTTTATTGCAGGCATTAACTTAATTTCTTGGTAAATCAATGATATTCCACTGTTCAATCAATTGTTGATTATACAAATGGTTCAAGTGATACATACAATGATCTTATATACATTATCTGAATTTGACAGTTGCAGGAAGACAGCCCAGATGCTGAAATGTGGCTGACAACAGCTGAGGCGGCCAGCCTTGGTGCTGAAGAAGTTGCAGCAAAACTCCAGGTTGACACAAGAACAGGTCTCTGGTGGCAAGAGGCTGATGCTAGAAGACAGAGGTATGGATATAATGAATTAACGGTTAAAGAGGAAGATCCAACATGGAAAAAATACATAGAACAGGTAGATTATTATTCTAAAAATATTAAATTAACTTTTTACACGAATGCACTGATGAATAATAATTATCTACTTTTTTTAGTTCAAAAATCCACTTATCCTTCTATTACTTGGTTCAGCATTTGTTAGTATCTGTATGAAACAATTTGATGATGCCGTCAGTATTACAGTGGTAAGTAAGCCTTCAAAGACCCAACATAAAACTAAAACTAAAACTTTTTTTTATCGACTCATATATTATTCTAGGCTATTATAATAGTTGTAACAGTTGCATTTGTTCAAGAATATCGTTCTGAGAAATCATTAGAAGAATTAAATAAATTAGTTCCTCCTTCTTGTCATTGGTGAGTGAAAAATAAACGTGGAAATTTAGTTCAATTTCAAGATCATTTTTTAATTAATAGACAGAAATTTTTTTAGATATAGTCTAATTAAAGGTATTTTTTGCAGCGTAAGAGAAGGTCGTGTAGAAACTTTCTTAGCTCGTAATTTAGTACCTGGTGATATAGTTTTATTAAACATTGGTGACCGGGTACCGGCAGACATAAGAATATTTGAGGCAATAGACTTGGCCATTGATGAAAGTAGTTTTACAGGAGAAACGGAACCATCTCAAAAGTCTACATCACCACTTCTTAAAAACAATGGGCACACTTCTAAGAGAAATATTGCATTCATGGGGACTTTGGTACGTTGTGGAAATGGCAAAGGAATTGTCATTAACACAGGAGAAAAGAGTGAGTTTGGAGAAGTGTTTAAAATGATGCAAGCTGAGGAAGCACCAAAAACTCCTCTTCAAAGAAGTATGGATATATTGGGTGCTCAATTATCTTTTTATTCTTTCTGCATTATTGGAGTAATTATGCTGCTCGGTTGGTTTCAAAACAAGGCATTATTGGAAATGTTAACGATTGGTGTGAGTTTAGCAGTGGCAGCTATTCCAGAAGGACTACCAATCGTGGTCACGGTTACTCTGGCTCTTGGGGTCATGCGAATGGCTAAAAGGAAAGCCATCGTAAAAAAACTGCCGACTGTAGAAACTTTAGGTTGCGTCAATGTCATATGCTCTGATAAAACGGGCACGATTACGAAAAATGAAATGACCGCAACGATAATCGTAACACCAGAAGGATATGTAGCTGACATTACTGGTACAGGATATAATGATAAAGGAGAAGTACGTATCCGTAAATGTGATAATATTGATCTTGCTCGCACATCTGTAAGCAATCTACTCGAGGTGGGTAGTGTATGCAATAATGCTGTAATACAAAATGATACATTACTGGGTCAGCCGACAGAAGGAGCTCTGATTGCTGCTGCAATGAAATATGGTATGTATGGAGTTTCAGACAAATATTTAAGACTTCAAGAGTATCCTTTTTCATCTGAACAAAAAATGATGGCTGTAAAATGTGCACCAAAGTACACTGATGACAGAACAGAAGTATTTTTTACTAAAGGAGCTATAGAAAAAATTTTAGCTCAGTGTACGAAATATTCTGTAAATGGTCAACTTTACCCTTTAAATCAAAAGAAAGAACGAGAGTTTCAAGCCGAAGCTTATGAGATAGGACAACAAGGATTAAGGGTGATTGGTCTGGCTCGAGGAACATCTTTGCAAGATCTTATTTATGTTGGTCTCATAGGAATTTGTGATCCACCACGAGAAGGAGTTAGGGCTGCTATTTCTACTCTATTTAATAGTGGAGTAAAAGTAAAAATGGTAACGGGAGATGCTAAAGAAACAGCTACAGCTATAGCTAACATGATTGGACTAGACACTCTTCATATGCGTTTATTATCTGGAGACAGAATTGATTCTATGACGGAAGCTGAGCTACAAGATGAGATCGATAATGTCAGTGTATTTTATCGAGTTACTCCAAAACATAAATTATGCATAGTGAAAGCATTGCAGAAAAATGGAAATATTGTCGGAATGACTGGAGATGGTGTAAATGATGGTGTTGCTCTAAAAAAAGCTGATATTGGTATTGCAATGGGTAAAAATGGAACTGATGTTTGTAAAGAAGCAGCTGATATGATTTTGGTTGATGATGATTTTCAAACAATCATTGCTGCAATTGAAGAAGGCAAGGGGATCTTTCACAATATTAGAAATTTTGTGCGGTTTCAATTAAGTACTAGTATAGCTGCATTAGCCTTGATAGCTCTAGCTACAATGATGAGTATTCCTAATCCTCTAAATGCCATGCAGATTCTCTGGATCAATATTATTATGGATGGACCCCCAGCTCAGAGGTAAAATTTGCTTTATTGCTATTTTATACTCAATATTAAACTTCGCAATTTATTAACAAACTCATTTAAATAATTTTAGTTTGGGAGTAGAGCCAGTAGACAAAGACGTATTGAGGCAGAAACCAAGAGATACAAAAGAACCCATGATTACTCGTAATTTAGTGATTAATGTGCTATTGTCTGCAATTATTATCATTCTAGGAACACTCTGGGTATTTAATCGTGAGGTAAATTATTCACTATTTTTTTAGACTGTTGAAAATTCATACAACTTCAACGTAATGACTATTTACTACAGCGGGAATATAAATCTTTCAAGATTTGAGACTGATTTGGAATAATAATCTGTTTTTTTTATAGATGACTTCTAATGGTGTTACTGCTAGAGATACAACAATGACATTTACTTGCTTTGTATTTTTTGACATGTTTAATGCCCTCAGCTGTCGATCACAAGTAAGCTTCAATGAATTAAGTCATTTTCTTTATTTCAGTAATAAACTTCGTAAATGAGAAGTTTTAATAATGTAAATTCATTTACAGACGAAATCAATATTCAGTATTGGTTTGTTGAGCAACAGAATGTTTCTAATCGCAGTGACGCTATCAGTCGTAGGTCAAATGTTGGTTATTTACTTTCCTCCTTTGCAAAAAGTTTTTCTAACTGAAGCGCTCACCGCAAAAGGTAAACATCTATTTTAGTCTGATCATAAATTGAATTTCTCTAAAAGCTTTTAGGAGCTAAATTCAATTACTAAAGGCAAAATATAATCAATACTGATTTAATGTTAATTTTCTTTACAGATTTAATGTTTTTAACGGCATTAACGTCAAGTGTATTCATAATAAGCGAAATCAAAAAATTCTTGGAGCGACAATGGGAACGAAGACGAGCAAATGGATGGAACTACCGTAAGTCAGAATTGGACTTTGTATGACAGTTACCATCCGGCGAGGAAAAAACTGAATAATACTCGCACGGAGTAAATTACATGTAATCGTAAGAGCCAAAACGGGAATCTTTGACAAGTAAGAGTATCACATAACTTTTCGAATTTACATTTAATTCTTGGATACTCTTTTACTTCTTCTACTTTACTGGTGATTCGTGCGGTAAATTTTAATTGACAGATTAATTGGCAAGGGTTATTTCCGAATCGATAATACAATTCTCGTGAAAGTGATAAAATATTAAAACTACAATTTTTAAAATATCGATAAATGTGTGTTGACTTAGAGCTATTGAGAAAGTTGTTCAGTACATCGATACATTTACAGAAAAGAAGAAGGCCAAATCTAATTCCAAGTCCAAAGTGCGTGGCAATTAATAAAATCCACCAAAGTGGAAGCATTGTGCATGAGATATGATGTTTTTCAACTTCTCTCTGATTTCTTTATTGAACCCTTTAACACACTAATCTACTTTACTACGATACAAAAGCATGGGGAATTTAAATGAGCTTCACTTCTCAACTATTTACATCGGCTTGTAGATGCTGATAATTAACAATAATTATTTAATGAAAGTAAGTTTATTGTAACCCAAAAATATTAATCATTTCTGATCAGTCATCAATAATACAGACTTTCATTTAGATAAATATTAGAATATTTATCTCAAGTGAATTAACTCGGTTTTTCATGAAGAAAGTAATTTATTATTAGCATGCCTAACACTTTATAATATTTATACATTAGAAAGAATACATTTTCATTTCATTCATTGATTGTTTTTAATTGAACAAATGAACAATCGATTTGAAAAGAAAATAATTTTAATTGAAATTGTAGTAAAATACTTTTTCATGTTATACAATAAATTGAAAATTTGTCAAAAGATTAGTAAAAAAACTTTTTTTTATCTTTCTAAATATTAATAATAATAAATATAAAATATATACATGTGGACATGTACACATATATTGGTTATAAAACATTTTAAAATATTTGATTCAATGTTAATTCATTCAAATTATTTATCTTGTCGAAAAAAGTTTTTTTCATTAATTTTATCAAGTGTTACTATTTGTGACTGAATGTAAAAGTATTTTATTTAAAAAATGTTCATTAAAATTATTTTTACCAGATTTTTTATTTTACTAAACATGTATTTATGATCAAACAATTTATTTTTCTACTTGAGTTTTCTTATTCTATTTGCACTGCATTCCATAAAATCGATTAATCGTTATTAACTGCTTGTATTAAGCTAATAATTAATTTAAAAAAAAAAACAAAAAAAAGGCGTTGAAAAAAATGACATTTCATATTGTATACACTACTGTTATCTACTAAAGTTGACTCTGAAAGCAGATCTTGAACGCACATTAACATTAAGTAATTTTTAGCACTGTTGAGTGAAAAAATGAAAAATTAATTCATATCATCATATAAAAATTAGTGCATAAATACTTATCATTTTTTCAATGAACGACGAGGTGTTGATTATTCATTAATTAATTAATCAATTATTCGTAATAAAAAGTACATCGACATTTTTTAATCTTTATGAACGATTGCTGAATGTTATGGGTGCTTTAATATTTTTTTGATCTAAATGTTACAATTATTACTAGATCGATATATTAAAAAAATAACAGCAGTACAACAGCAATAAGATCAGGTCAATATTTGAATCAAACATTGAAATGGTAATAAATAAGAACAAATAAAAAATTTTGTATTATAAATGATATAATTAATAACTATACAAATGGAATACCATCTAAATATACAATGTAGATAATTTGCTACTGTGATTTTAAGACCTTATCTTTAATATTGTTTATTCTATGGGTGCTTGAAGGAATCCTGGTCGTTCATAATAAATTATAACGTCTTGAAATTCCTAGATGATTATACATTCGTCTATTAATGTTAATCTAGCTCTCACTATTGTGCCCACTGATTCTCCTTCTTCACTGTATGGAGAAATAAAACATAACTGATTATCATGACTAGTTTAGTTAATTATTATTATTATACATCTTATTAAATTTTACATAATTTTTTTATTATTTTAAATTGGATTCATTTGATCTTTTATCTATTATGAATCTTTATTAATAATAATTTATTTATAAGTTAATGATAATTAATTATAAGAATATTTTCAAATACCTTTTAATGATTTCGATGGATCTTTAATTTTGTGCAATAAAATATTTTTCAATTTAATGAATGCCTTCTAAAGCACTGTAGGTTCGATATTGATATAATTCTGGTCCTCCATAACCATACAGCAACCTTCCTCGACCATTTTCATCGTAATATGGGTATCGATATTTTGGCCTAAAAGCGAATAACACAGTTTCACAGGTTTTTTAGTTTGTTTTAAAAATAATTTCCATATTCAATTAACCTTCAAATAGATAAAACTAAAAACTTTCTAGGTGACATAAAGAACTTTCTTTGAAATAAGCTATTCTTGATGTATTGGAAAATAATTACCAGCCTAGTTTTTATAACTATATTGATCACATTTATTTTTTAAAATATTTAATCAATAAAAAAAAGTACTGATTAAAGTGTCTACCTTTCAAAATATTGAAAATTTGGAGCCTTAGGTTCTGGAACTAGAGAATTACTGCTTGAAATCAACGTAAACAAGGTCACCAATATGTTTAGAATGCTTAGCTGTCAATGGAAAAAAGCATAACAGTTAATTTGATTAATTAATGTTCATCAATAGAACTAGTAGAACTTTAAAATGTTTACTTACAAAAAATAGTTTTTTCATGATTCTAGAAAAATCTTACGTTCTCTTTAGTGACAAGATATCTACGACTGTGAATGATGTTTAGTGAAAGAAGTTACTGAAGCTAACTGAATAACGTACCTATAGGAAGGCAGGTGAAAGTCCACTTTCCTGTTTAAAGATTTGAGAAACGGTACGTGATTCTTACCAATGTAATCTTTGCCCTATCAACAGTCACGTGAAAGAAAAAAAAGAAAAATAAACAAAAAACTCATAAATTCAAATTTTCATCATCTTTTTATTTACTATTTTATACTATAAAGTACTTGAATGTGTATAACATTTTTCCTATGGATTATATCGTAGATCAGGTTTGGCTTTTGCAACCTTTACACCCCATGGACCATCAAAGTTCATTCCCGTACCTAATCTTGCAATTAAATCTCGTCCTCGTGGTCCGTTTAAAGCTTCATATTGAGCTCTACGTGCTTTTCCTTGTTCTGGATCAAAATCCCATTCTGTGTGCTGAAAAAAATACTTTCATCTAATCTACATCATTTTAACACGAAAAACAATTAAACTTTATCCATTAAAACAGCTACTATAGAGTAAATTGAATTTATACAAACAAGTAGTTAAAAAGTAATACAATTATCTGTACAGATCCATTATTTATTTATTTACTTACATATTTATTTATTGATAAACGATAAATGTATTTACCTCGTGAAGAAGTGGTATGCCAGCTACATTATACTGCAATGTATCATGAATTAAATTCCATATCGGCGTGGCTGAAGATTGTGTAATCATCATTAAACTCATCACCTGCATTGTGTTTATTGATAGAGAAATTAAATAAGGTATGCCATATGTGCATTAGCATTATTTACATTCACAAAAGATTAGATATTCGAATAATAAGATGATGAATTGAATTAAATGACATGAAAATAAAAATGTTAATTTATAGTTAAGATATTCTACCATTAAAATGCATTGAAAATTCATGACACCTGAAGAACTAAATGATAGTAACCCACATCAATTTGACAAGTTCTACCGTTATGATAAATTAACCAATAACTTTACATCAGAGAGTAGACACTATGAGGTGCTGATATACTGATTGTAAACATTTTCTTCTCATTCTCATGTAACCTGGAGTGAAAGTAAAAATATCCATGATGTCGTTTTGATGAAGTTTGCCGTTCAATTTGAAAAAAAATTTCATATTCCTTGACCACTGTGACTTTTGAATAATAAATAAGTAATTGTAGTGTTTTTTCAATAATTACGAATAAATGTATGTAGAAAAGTTGTATTTTAATTTAAGAAAATACATTTTACAGTGTGAAAAAATATTTTTCATTTGATTAAAAACTATCAAATAGCCCAGACTTTGACATGCTCAACAGATAAATCCTTCAGATTTTCTTGCCATGTGCGAGACCATATTGGAGTGGCATTGTAGAAATCAAGTAATGCCTGGTAATGAACAAATTATAAAAATATTTCAATAATAATTATTATCGATAATTATTTAAAAACTATTTTATATTTTGAAATAATGATAAGAGAAAAGACTCATTAAACCATTTTTCTGAATAATCATCGAATATTTAAATTTAGATTATTGGAAAATTTTAGAATTTAATGAAAACGTTGTTGATATAAAAAATTATTTCTAATAATTTTTTTTTCTGTGAATTATGTTTCAATTAAACTCTTAATCTAAATCCTAATTAATTGATAACAATCTTTATCTGTTAAATAAACGACCAAGAATATATGGTCATTTTTCAACTAAATACTTAAAAGTTATCACATTTACAGTATTTATCCAAACAATTAATTTCGGTACCTTAGATCCAACATTTTTCCACGGCTTGATGTAGCCATCGCTCATACTCATGTCTGGAAATTCTTCATGACCTCCTACTGCAACACCTAGAGCTATATAAAACTGAAAACATCCAGAAATAATTCACTTTTATTATCTACATGAAACACTGATTTTTATGTAATAAAAAAAAATTTTACTGGTTTATCAAAAGGTGGTCCTCCATTCATTGATCCATATTCCACATTGTCTACCTTTACTGTAATACGATTTTGTGACCATTCTAGCTGATAAGTATGATATTCTTCGAACCAATAATCAGTAGCAAACCTCCTGGGATTATCTGGACGTTTTGGAGTATCAAAATTTCTTTGAATTCCTCCACTACAGAGAACATGCCCACTCAAGTCAGCTCCACCACTTGAACGAAGCACTGTATTTCCGGAAGTCGTAGCAATCCTCAATTCAGGGTAATTCATCGCCTTGGCGTCATTCAAAGGCAACAGGGAGAGAACTACAGGAAGTAAGTTGTGACAATTGTTCAGATAAATCATCATTTAAATCTTTTTATGAAGTAAAAAAATAGTTTTACAAATTATTTTTAACCCAAAAGCTACTATTTTTAGTTTTGTTAAATTTTATTGCTATTTTTTCTCTGTTGACAGGGATGGCTTTTTTAAAAATATTTAAAAGCTAACATCAAACTTACTGGGATAAATCCAATCTCCTCTAGGCAATTTGGCTCGAATTTCGATTTTTCCATAAATGAAAGCAAATGATTTTTTTGTGTCAACATATCCAGAAAATACTGCAGGTAAAACATAAGGACCAAAAGCTTCACGACTACACTGAACAGTTCCAATTATTCCAGTGCATCTTAATTAAGTCAATGTAGAAGGTAAGCAGTTTTTTTAAATTATCAAAACAAAATTTTTATGAAATAAATATGAAAGAATCATTCACCTTTCAAGAGTCAAGTTACCATAACGTATAAAATCTTTCCCGTACTCATTTTCGACTAAAGTAGGTATTAAGTGAAGCTTGTTGGATTTTATTTTGATATTCCGCTCGTTATCTCGGTATGTGACGAATGCATAATCCTATTAGATTGCAAATATTTTTCATCACTTTCAAGCGGTTTGAATTTTTGATGTATTCAATACAGATTAAATTTAAATTTTGAATTAAGTCAACTTACAGGAATTCTTGGAAATCGCTCCACATGTCTCCATATTGAATCATTCAACGTTTGAAAGTTGTCTTCAAATATTAATTCTCCAGTACATGTGTTTTGATAAGTTCCCGTTGACAAATCTACTATTTTTGTCGGCGAAAAAGCACAAACCTGTGATGGTTGAATTGATGTTGATACTCCGTCTAAGTTTACTTTCGTACCATCAGGGTTGTAGAATTCTATAAATAAAATTCTCTCATGAAAAGTGCTATCAGTAACATCTAGTTAATGTGAATGACCTTTTTTAAAAAAGATTTGTACTTGGAGTAATAGTTAAAATAATATTATAAATGATATTTCATATGCTTGATATTGATACAAACTAGTAACTTCATGTTGTTGAAATAATAGATTATATCCAAGGCCATTGTAGACCACATGTACCCAATAATGAACAACATCTCCAAATTTCAAATTAGTAGTATTGTCTTGATAAGTCCATCGACCATTCCTAACTCTTAAAATATCTCTAGCTATTGTTCCTGCTTCAATTCCCTCAAATTCTTCATTAAACTTTATATGAAATGCTACGAGGCTTATTCCCTTTTCATCTGCAATGAAAGATAAATTATTATTAGCATAAAAAAATTGGTATAATACCAAAAAAAAAACATCTGCAAGTAATAAAGTAATTGAAATAAGGAAAAAAAATCTCATCTTACCTGGAATCGATATTTTGAGTCCTCTGGGATATAGCGGTTCTACTCGAGCTTGAGGAGGAGTATATTGGCCAAGAATAATATTCACCAATGTCAGGATCAGTATAATATATTTATTTGCTCGTGACATAATATAATTAGATTATTTAATTTTTTCTTGATAGGATTAAATGATTTTCTGATTAATTTTAATTTGCTTTAAAGTTAAGAGATATCACGTTTTAGCAATACACTGTAAAAGATTATGTATAAACACTAGGATTTTCCCTACTACGACGCAAAGTTGCGATGAAATAGTGGGGAATTCTAGTCTTGCATCTCGATGGACTCTGAAACTTGTTTGTGCTATAGAGATTCTCTTGATAACGTCATCAAGTTTGAATTTTTTATTTTTTAAAACTATGCATTTTCATTGGTCCTTTCATTTTAAAAATATCTTATGTATATTTTTGCGCCTCCTCGTTGCCAATGTATTACTTAAAAAAATATTCTTTCTCAATTTCAAGCTAAATTGAACCTTTACAACATCATCTTATCGTTTAGAATGCTGCAAAAAAAATGACAACATGAAATGAACCAGAAAATTTATTTATCTAATACTTTAAAATAAAATCGCTTTTTAAATATATTCATATTTTATAATTCAAACATATTTGTACTAAAAAATATAATGAATTGTTGATAAAAAAATCTCTAGATAAATCTATAAGATCGGCTTTAAAGTTGAATCCTTCATGAAAATTTTTATAAAAATATTTTAGAAAAATATTTTTCTATGAAATTGTTATAAAAATTAAATTATGATAAATTAATAATAATCAAACTTAACACATAATTATAAAAATGAAAAAAGAAATCCTAGAATTAAGTTAATCATGTGTTCTTTTAATGTAAACATAATATATGTTTCAGATTTATGCTGATGCACGGTTGATACACGTGTCAGTTAAAAGAAAGTGAAGTTGATTTGCAAATAAGATATCAGTTCCATCCTCGTCATGTCTCTCAGTGTGAAATTGTAGTTGTGAGTGAGAGCTAAGCAGTTGGAATCAGTGTATATGTTGCAAGATAGTAGTGGATGATCATGACAGTGGTGCTTATGATATACATATCTCAATGTGCTAAATCTTAATCTGACTGAAGAGACTGTTCACCCGTCACCCGCATGTGCAATTCCGGTGAATGCTCCGATGATGATCGATCGTCTATTTTAGTTCAATTATTCAGCAGACTGTGAAAGATTGTAAACTACCGGTGTTTTGTCATGTCGAAAATTTCCTTCGACTCACCGACTTTCAAGTAGATTCATAGGATTTACTTTTATCTAGGGCTATAAAATTGTAATTCATTCGACAAGTTTATATATGATTTTTTTACCTCTTGATGAAAAACGCTTGTCTATATCATCAGCTTATGATTTTTTTTCTCATCCGTATGATTAACAATTACAGCTCTTCAGAATCAACTACAAAATCATCTCTTACATAATTATGTAGAAGGACATATATAATAATTCAGTTTTCCATTTTATTTTCTTCAGTATTACAAAAGCTACTGCATCAGTCACATCGAGGTGAGCTAATTATTTATATTTTTTTTATAATATTCCAGCGTAAAATAAATGCCAAAACTATGAACATTTATTACAAACTTTTCATATTTGTTATTGACAAGAAAATATATGATTCCCTCACTTTTTTATTTTTGCAGATGCTGGTATACGATATAAACTATAATCTCTCTTTAATCTTTTACCTTTTTTCTACTTGAAGTACAATTCTACACTGTAAAGTTTAAAAGATTTTTATATCAACCATTCAATAGTTGGAATTTTAATCTTAGTGACTTTTAGATTTCCCTAAAAAACATGAAAGTGAAAAAAAATCTTCCGACCTATTAAAAAGGTTTATATAAACCTTTTTCGGCCCTTTTAGTCACACGCTGGCTAAAACGATTTTAAATTCAAGTTTTTTTCACCGTTACATCGACATGACAGAAGCTCCACCCCTATTATACAAGCGACAGGGGAGTTTAAAAGATGCATTGAGATATGTTACACAATACCACGTTAAATTGCATATATTTGTTTTGTTTTGACGTACATATCTATCATTTATCTTTCATTGAAAACATTCATTAATGGCAGTTGCAAAAATAATTCTAAAGCAGTCATAACAATTTGTTAAATTTACTGCTGAAAGTTTTATTCTTTAAAAAAAATATTAAGAACAAAGTTGATTTTCATCAAAATTGTTTTCAAAAAAATATCATTACTTAAAATAATATTGGATCAATCAGACATGATATTTAGGAAAAAATTATGTATGACTATTAAATATTAATTTACCAAAATTCGAAAAAGAAGAAGCTTTAATTCACATCAATCAAATTGTATTTGACTAAGTTATAATAATCTTTTTTTTTATAATCACTCATTCAAATATGCTCTGCAGCATTTTTGCTATTTTTACAAATTTTTGCAAATCCAAACATTCAACTGTTAAGTCACTTTTTACTACGAGAATTCATTTTTTGATCCATTAATTAAGTTCTAATATTTGTTAAATTAAATAAATAAATGATAATAAATTTTTTCTTTAAATATAATCTTTAAGATAAATACGTGGAATAACAGACACAATTTGCAGACGCTTAATATTTAATATACATAAATAAGTCGAAAGTGATGACTATTATCCTGTTAACTATATCACGGCCATTATTATGAGTTCATTCGCACTTATCAAACTTTATCTTATCGCCTGACCGTGACTCTCTTGTAAATCCACACATCTTGAGACTCCCTTTGTTTTTTTTAAGATAATAATTTAAATTTAAAAATATAACAAAATTAACATAATTTTTTGTTGTTACAGGTTTAAAATGATGGGAATAAGTAATCCAGGACTTGAACTTTCCGACGAGGTGAGTGTGACATTTGTAAAATTAGTTACAATGGTGATGAAATCCATAATACGTGACTTGGGGATGATTCCTTAAGCTTCAAAAAATCCGTTTGAAGATGAAGAGTGTAAAAAATGGTGTGCGGCAACGTCTCAACATGGAGAAAACGTTTTAAATGACGGGAAACGTTTTAAGCACTTGTATTAGATGAATATATGTATACCATTTTTGTTGTAAAATACGTCCGATCGTCTTTGAAAAAAAATCTTTACAAGGACAATAAAAAAAAGGAAATGAAACGTTTGTATATAAGTAAGGATAAAAAGGCAGCTCGAGGCGATTCATTTGCTTGATGGCTTGCTTGGAGACATCGTTCGTGTATCTTGTAGTTATAGTAAGAGTCTGAACTCATTCAGTGAAAATTTTAGCTATCAAGAAAGTCAATGGAACAAATAACGCAGATTTTTCTCATCAGTACTTTATGAAAAGTATTGAATACAAGGAAAAAACATATATAGATATTCTAGTGTTAGTACCGAAAAAAAACAAGGGTGACAGCAAATGGACATTTCATCAATCACAGCAGTGTTGATGCTCCGGAAACCCTGAGCGAAATTAAAACACGATTAAAAGCAGGGAATTGAGTAACGATCAAAAAATCGATTATCGTCAGCAGACGCCAATTAACTCGGATTCATTTCAGTACACTCTTCAGTCTCTACCTGAATATTTGTCTGACATGCATCATAGGTTTCTCCTTTTTTACATTTGCAACATTCTGGTTTGCCCTCAGTTCGTCAATTCTCTATACTCTATCAACTTTTAAATACAACATACGATTGAAAAGAATAAAAATTCATCAATCAAATAACTGAAAAAATGTTATTTCTTTGTTTGAATACATCAGATTTTTATCCATTCAAATACCATGAACAATGCACTCGTTTTATTTTTCAAGTCTTTTAGTTAATAATGATTAATTGGTAATAAATCTTTCGTATTTTATTGCTACTAAAATAACTTTTTTGATTCATTTTAGTTCATCTGAATTGCATAAATTCTGATTTAAAAGTTAACCTGCAATTACATATATGCATATTATAAAATGAGCATATGTCTTCATCTATTCATTCATTGACAAACGGCTGAAATTGTTGTTAGCAACGCTTGAGCAATTTATTTATGTTTTAGTTTCTGACTAAAACTTGAGCTGATCGGACATTTTTCCTATCATAAATGATTTTCCAATGGATTCAATAAATGTTTTCACTGATTTATAATTCTTTTCCAAATTATTATTTCTTCTCATTTTACAATATATAAAACTTTTGATGACTTCATTGAAAATAAATTTACAACTCTTGAAAATGTACAAAATTAAATCACACCAATCGAGTTTGCAACAGAGTTTGATGGAGAAGGGTTCATCAAAAACTAGAGTATTTGAAGGACCACCCACGAATTGTGTCACGCGCCAAAAGCCCTTGTCTTCTTTATGCGAGGTGGCAACACGAGTGGGTCACCCTGTAAATCCATGTGCAAACGGAAGCCATGATTCTCGATTAATTCCATGGAATTTATGTCCTGTCTCACATCATCTATGGATGTATTCCCCTTTTCTTTCTGCTATACTTCCCCCTTTTTTGTATATTTACCCTAAGCAAACGAATCTTTGCCAAATCCCACCCGTTATTACCTTTCGGAGCTCACTTTTTGTTCTTTTTCAAGTTCAATAAACTTTTCTGTACTATTATAAATAGTAAATACGTGTAAGTGATGATTTTATGCGAGATGAAGGTCGTGCGTGGGCATCCGGAAGCAAACATTTGAGCGAAATTAATTTGGAAGACATCCAGACAAAAATATTTAAAGGGGAATAAGACACTGAGTGGAGGTGATGCTTTATAACATCTTTGATGACTGTTATGTGAGGAAAAAATATTTCCATGGTCTAGTAAAAGCTCAAGATAATTTTTATCGTAAATAAATGATAGAACGAGGTGAAGCAGATAAAAAGAAGAGGAACAACGACCCCCAGAGAAGCTGTTGCACCGGGAGTGGTAGTAGGGATGACGGGAGAAAGGGGTGTCACTACCAGAGATGGTGGAGAACTGGCTAGAATGAGAGAGAAACGTTTTGACTCGTAGGGAAAACTCCAAGAGCTCGGTCATGATTCTCAGTCGCATGTGACTCGTGGAAGTGTTCACAACTCCTCCTCTTCTTTTTCTTCTTCATTTGCTTCACTTTCGTCATTCACACGTGTGTTCTACATCATTTGTGAGCTAGTGATAATGAGTGATATGGTACTATTTCTTAGAAGAAATCAGGATAAGCTTTAATCTTGGAAAAAACTTATTTATAAATCTTAATCATGCGAGATAAATTTTCTTTTAGTGTAAGTCCTTTGAGATTAAAAGTTCATTTATTATTTTTTTATTACGACTTTCATTAGAAAAGTTTTTTAACAGATTGAAGAGATGTTTCTACAAAAGTTTTTCTCATTTTAAATTGACAAAAATGACAAATTTCAAAAATAGACTTGGTGATTTTATGCTATAATAGTAAATCCATATTTAATGAATAGCTTAAAATTAAATTTATCAATTCAGTTAATAAAAGTGAAAGAAATAATTATTTTTATGATAAAATATCTTTAATTGTTATGTAAATTTATTTCAATCTCTACAAAATTATAACAATATTTTATTATTCCTATAAATATAATTTCTAAAAATACTTTCTCACTTATTTCTATTTCAAAATAAGTTATTGTATTAATCAATTAAATTAATTGTTCATTAGATTTAATATAATTTACATCTATATAAAATTGTAGAATAATTGAATTCAAAGAAAATGATAAGCGTTTGAATACTTACAAATGATTATTCTAATGATTTAATTAAAAATTCAATGCTCTATTTTTAAAAGTGAATTTTTTTATTACAGAGTGGAGTGGCAGATATGAATGAGACTCTGCCGAGACTCACAGAACAATTTGATGGTCCCGTCAAAGAAGAAATGAAAGAAGAGATGCAACTTGACATGGAAAAAGTGTCATCAAAGAAGTTGTGTGGTTGGTTTTGGTTCAGGCCTTCATATTTGCAGAAATTTCGTACTGCCAAGTGGGCACTCTTTTGGCTTTGCTGGGCTGGAGCAATGCAGGGTACTTGAAATGCTAAATTAACAGTTGTAATTTTATTAAGGAGTAACTCAAGCATTAAACAAACATCATTAATCGAGTATCACACTTCCAACATTAAACACTTTGAATTGATGTAGTATGTCAAATAGATACTAAAGATCTGTATATTTACCAGTTCTGTCTCTCGATAATTTCTAGCTTCTGTCTATAGTAAAACATCACATTATCTGTGATCGTTTAGTTCCGGTCATATCCATATCTTTTATTTTTGATATAAGCACTTTTTCGATATACAAAACCGTGAGAAATGAATGAGAAACGATATTTATAAAAAAATTCTTTTTGATTTCTCTGCAATTTTGATGTTATTCAAGAAGGAGGAAGTAGAGAGTAACAGAAAGTGTTAGCGGAAATTGAATTTACAATCAATTTGAAAAAGTTAAAGAAGTAAAAAAAAATATTGAAAGGAAGGAAATATAGTGAGTCGAAAAGGGAGAGTTGAAGGTTTTAGTGTATGCGTTTACTTGATTTAAAATGTGTTTATTTAATGCTCAATATGTTCAAATATAATACATTGTTCACTATTCTAACCGTGTGTCCCCGAGCTCTTGTTCATGTGATACTGGCGCGAAACAATACAAGTCCAAGCGCGATGAAAGAATTGAGCAAATTGATGCACAATAGACGCTGTATGCTTGAGGTTTATGAAGCAAACTTTTAGAATGTATTTAGGGAGAGAAAAAATGGGCTTAAAAGATCACTTTAGCGTTATTAATTTTCTCATTTTAAAATATGCAGTGGTGTAAATCTTTTCTTTCATCTTAAATTAAATTAACAGTCATTCATTAAAATTTAATGAGATAAAATATATATTAAAAATTACTCTTTTTTAATTAATCTTACAACTCTTTGATTCAGGAATGGTTGTAAATGGTTTTATCAATGTCGTCATCACAACAATAGAAAAAAGATTTGGATTGACATCATCAGAAACAGGACTTATTGCTGGAGGATATGATATTGCTAGTTTCATACTTTTAATACCAGTTAGTTATCTTGGTGGTCGTTCAAAAGCTTCCAAGCCCAAGTGAGTTATTAAAAACTTTGTAGACTTTCTCCAAAAGTCCAACAAAAGAACGTATTTTATTTTTCATTTTTCATCATTACAGATACATAGGAATAGGTGTTCTAGTCTTAGGAATGGGAAGTCTTCTCTTCGCTTCACCTCATTATCTCGCACGCACTTACCAAGGCAGCCAGCAGACAGAAGTTGTATGCCAGAAAACCAATGAAACTTCAGTGTCGGTGAGAGTTGTCCATTCTTATCGAATTTGGAGGTGATTCATCGATAATTTAATAACTACTGACTAACTAAATAGTTTAATTTGTTTACCATACTATCCCCATTCAGTCAAAGTGTGATGATCACTGGGGACCAACAGAAGGTGAACCATTCAAGGGATTTTATTTGATGATATTCTTGATTGCACAATTATTACATGGTGCTGGGGCTTCACCTTTTTACACACTTGGAGTGACTTATCTTGATGAAAATGTTTCCAAGAAAATGTCATCAGTTTATTTAGGTAATATACTTTGTATGATGATAAGTGAAATTTTGTCGATTTGTTATCAATATTGATGTGTCAAAGCTTGTGAAGATATGATCTATTTTAAATAATGATTTCATTTTAAATTTTAGGAATCTATTATACAATGGCAGTGATTGGACCCGCACTTGGATATGTAGTGGGTGGAGAACTCTTGAAACTTTATACTGACTTTCTGACTGTAGATGCCGGATCGTAAGTTTCGTTACTCATTTTGATCAAGCGATATTGACGTGTCGCTTTGAATTAAACCGTAGCTGTCTACCTGTATTTTACCCCAACTCATCTGTACTTTCCTACTCAGCGTTTAGTTGCTTCTACACTCGGGACTTTATTAAATTCTCGCGAGAATTTACTGCTTCCTCGCTTCTTCCATCACCATGACTGTGAGGTTTTCACATATAAATCATGTGCAAATAAATGAATTTTTTTATTGTCATATAACACAGTCAACAATTTCTCATATTGAAATAGATATAAATTTATTGTCTGGATCTGTTACAATTTGATGTAATGGAAAAAAAATCTTGGAATTCATTTTCTTCGATATCAATCTTTCTATATCTCATAAAGATAGGTATGCTAGATATTGGAGTATAAGTATGCTAATAGTGATGACAAATTATATCATCACAAAGAAAATATGAATGTTTTTAATACTACCGTTAGAAAAATTTTTAAAGTCACATGGATTGTGGCTGAAAAATTTGAATTAAATTCTCAGGATGATTAGCATAGAATAAGAAACGCGTGACTCAACGTAAAATATACGAGTTATAGACTATAGGCGTTTTTATTCATCCCCGAAGGATGACGGGAGGGTGAATAGTTTTTTTTTGAAGGGTAACACCAGCGTCATCCTCAAACACTGGTAACTCTGTTTGACATTTTCCCCATGGGATGTCCTCGGTACGGCTGCATGCACTATTAATCTCGTCGCATTATTCGCTCTAATGGCACACAAGGGTTATATTTAACCATACTTTATTATATTCTTGTCAGCTATATACTTACTAAACTGTAAAGCATATGCCTGTAAATACTCTCCAAAATAATATCCAATTTATGATGGCATTAAAATTTATGATTATTTTCATTTATTGTTATTTTCTTCTTTTTTTTTTCAATTTGTCTTGGATAAATCACAATCCATTCAAGTACTCAAACTATTTATGTACGAGCACAGAAAACCGAGGGTCAGTCAGTGAATGAGACGTAAAGACGTTCAATGAAGCATTTTTTTTTATACTTTGGTCGAAGTGCGGACGTTAATTGTCGGAGATTGTAAAGGATTTGAAAGAACAGGACGCAGAGCAAAAGAAATGCAGTCTGCAAGAACGTTATACCTCTTTAATAAAATTGTAAAAAGATAAAAAGGTTTGCCACTAATCTGTCTGCATAATCTTCTTCTTAATTTCATCATGAGATCCTATTAAATATCAATGAAGTTTTTATCTTTTTATTTATCCATTTTTTTACATAATTTTTATGTCGTTGAGTTTATCTATCTGTTTGTTGGTTTAATTAAAAACAACATTTTTCTAACTTGTAATTGTATTTACTTACAATGAGAAAAAGCACTAAGAACATCTGTATTCATAAATCTCACTTTTTTCTTAAAGTCAAATATTTTTTCATATTGTATTATACTTTCTTGTACTGTATGCAAGAAAAAGTTAATTACTCCGGAAATAATTCATTTATAACATTTTTTTCTTTACCATAAAAAAGAAAAGTCATTTTGGTGGAGCACATGCTCTTAACTACACAGGCAAATGAAAAGTTTCCGTGGTTGGTTGATGCCAAGAAGAGAATATTAGTACTCGAATAACTTTAGAAACCACATGCCTAGCCCAAGTAGTTTCCTCCTACTTTTCTCAAGCTTTGCTCCACGAGCAAACTTTTGAAATTGTGCGAGTTTCATTGCAGTTAATTATTTATGCACTTGATTTACCTATCGAGTTCGTTTGAATAGAGCGAAACAGCACATTCATTTCCCTATCAATGACACTTAAATTAAAAAAAAACGTTTGTTTTAATTTTTTATTCGATCAGACTGAACGTTATTCTGCACCTTAAAGACCTCAGAAATTAAATGAAATATTTAGGGGACTTCATTTTCAAATCATCTAGAATTATCATTCAGAAAAAATACTTATTTTTTAATGTACTATTTTTTCAAATAATTCAATAACTGTACCATGATTTTTCCTGTTGATGAAATTTTGAATAGCATTTTTTTAATTTTTAGAATCGGAATGACTCCAGATAGTAATGTTTGGATTGGAGCATGGTGGATTGGATTTGTTGGAGCTGCAGTTATTTGTTTTGTTGTTGCCATTCCACTGTTAGCATTTCCTGCTGCACTTCCAGGTAACTAAACCAGACTATTTATCAGCATTTTCGAAATGCTATCTCTTTATTAATCTTTTTTGAGATTCAGTTTTACGTTATATGTACGATGATATAATTCTAGGTTCAGAAGAGTTAGCTAAAGAAAAAGTATCAGAAGCACATGAAAAATCGACACCATCAGCTAGTGCAACAGGAGAAGCATTTTCCAAGATTCGAGAGCTTCCTCGTGCTTTTACAGAACTGCTGAGCAATCCTGCATTTTTTATGCTCAACTTAGCCGGTGCTAGTGAAGGGCTTTTGATCTCTGGCTTCGCTGCGTTCCTACCTAAGCTTATTGAAAATCAGTTTAGTGTCACTGCAAGCTCGGCAGCATTACTTATGGGTAAGCACTTATTTCCAACATTATAAAAAAAAACACAATTTAATAATTTATCGGATAGTGGGAAAAATGGTGTATTCGGTTTTCAATCTTATAACTTGCTTAAAAATTGATTTTATAACTTTAACTCTTTTCAACATGGTTTCTCCATCATACAATTTTTTCTAAAACCTTCATGAAATTGTATTACCAGTCGCAAAAATTATTTTTCGCCACTTTCTCATTTTCATCCCTCAAAAACTCTTATCCTCTCTGTATATATTTTACCAAATAAAAATTTTATAATTGATTTTACTGAGAATTTCAAAAAAAAACTCAAATTCTGTTCGAATCGTCTTGTTGACAACAATGTGTATAAATATCTCGTTTCACGTTAAATTCTGCAATTTTTTTAAAATTAAAAATTATTTTGAATTACTTTACGTTTCATCTAATTTAGTGAACTGTATTATTCACTCAGAAAATTGAAAACTCTCTAATTTAGTATCGTTGAATAATCACTTCTTTCTACGTTTTATTTTTGAATTTTAATTACGTTTTATCAAAGCTCATGAGCTGCTAGTATTCGAATTTATTTTTAAATGCATATCTTTTACGAAGATACTGGTAAGAATGTTTTCAGGCTAAGTTAATGAAGATTGAAAATATTGTGCATTAAAAACATGTTTAAGAAACTAGAGCAGCATAGCCCCTTAGGCAAGAGAGTCCACTTAAGAACAAAGTAAAAAATAGGGAAAAGAAATTTCGCAAGCACTTTTCAAAGAACAATTTTTTTTTTAAAACTGTGTTTATAAATAACAAAAAAATATTTTTAGATCATAAATATTTATCAACAATTCATTTATGATTTATCAAACGTTTATTTTATTGTCGTGTGAATTTTTCATTTTATATCATCTAAAATATTAATCAAATGTTATTGTGGTTTCAGGTCTAGTAACAGTTCCAGCTGGCGGAGGTGGTACATTTCTCGGTGGATACTTGATTAAACGTTGGAATCTACCTTGCTCCGGAATTTTAAAATTCTGTATTTTTGCTACTGGTGCTTGTATCATCTTCACTTTGTGTTTCGCTCTTAGTTGTCCAAACTTAGATTTCGCAGGAGTTACAGTATCGTACACTGGAACAATTGAGTAAGTTTGCAATAAATTGCCACCATATTATACATATATTTAACTACATAAATTCATTAAAATTAATGAAAAGAAGTAATTAATAGAACATGAAAATACACTAAATACTAATGAATTTATATTTACTCTCAGAAAGTCATACTCGTTAGAGGGTATTTGCAACAGTGGCTGTGGGTGTACAACGTCTAAGTTTAATCCTGTATGTGGCGTTAATGGAGTTACATATTATTCACCTTGTCATGCTGGATGTGCCAGAGAAATTCAAAAAAACGATGTCAAGGTATTTTTTTTTTAAAACAAATATTATTTTATTAGTTCAAATTTGTTTCATCTCCCAGTTGTTAATATCTTCATGTAATATTTTAAAAATCTAATCTAATCAACAAAATTTCATTATTTGTTATTTGTGATGAGAAATAAGTTACATATTTTTTGAAAATTTTCAATTATTTTTTGTAGATTTATCAAAACTGTACATGCATCAGTGGGCAACCGTTCAATCTGTCAATGACATCAGGTGAAACAGTACCCTATGAAGCAATCAATACAACTTGTTCTAGTAGTTGCAAATATTTATGGCTTTTTATCTCCTTGGCATTTTGTAACATGCTCATGACTTTCTTGTGCACAATGCCAGCATTAGCAGCAACTTTAAGAGTTGTAAGAGAGGATCAAAAATCGTTTGCGTTAGGTATTCAGTGGAATAAAGTCAGAATTCTCGGAACGATTCCTGCACCGATGATATTTGGTGCTTTGATTGATGATACATGTATTTTATGGCATGAGACGTGCGAAGGAAGAGGTGCTTGTCTCGTCTATGACAACTATTGGATGAGCTGGTAAATTATAAATATATAAAAAGTTAATTTTAGTAATTGTGCAAAAGTGAGATGAAGCCCGAGTGAATACTATTCTTATACATATTGTTCTTTCTTTTTCTCTCTCCAAAAATTGCTCTGTCTTCAAGAGATTAAATGGTAAATCTCCTTGTACAGTACAGATAAGTCTTGAACTCTAAGAAAATAATTGAACTGAGACAAAATATAATATTAACAAGTGATAAAAATATTCATAAACTCGTAAAAATTGTCTACTCAGTATATTTTTAATTAAACTTTTGATTTTCCATTAGCTTGAGTTACTTATAATACTTGATATACGTTGTGCACTAAAATTGGGATAAACTCTCACTTACGCTCAATTATCTTGATTAAAATTTCATTTAAATAATAAGATTGATGTTTATTACTTCAGGTATATGTTCGGTTTGGCCTTCATCGGTAAGACAGCTTCCTTAATTTTCTTCTTCTTCGCTTGGTGGTGTTACGTACCACCTGGAGGGCGAAGAGTTGCTTCTGATCTCAGTCAACAACCTACAGCAGCAGTTATTTCATGTGAAGAATCGAATCATGCTATTTCATCTCCACAGAATTCCATAAATCCATCAATTAATTCCTAAAATAAAAGAAAATTAATTAAAGTAAATAAAAAATAGCTAGAGAACTAATGGAGGATAACATTAAGAATGTTATAAACATTAGAGAAATATAGGTAGTCAATTTTTGGTATCACTTTCGTGGTAAAGACTGAGTCAGAAGAAAGATAATTGAAAGACAGATAAAAGATGACATTTTAATATTATTTATAAAAAATATTCTATAAAATTATAAAATATAAAAACGTATGAGCACATGTATTGTGAGAGATAAAATAATGGCTTGTCACTGCCATTTAAATCGACTGACAAAAATTTGGCAAATGTTTTCTGTTAGGCAAATTTTATTTTTACATGAGTATATATAGTTATAAAAATTATCCAGATGATTATATATGATTATATAAATGTGAGAATCGATATAAGTAATTATAATATTAATAGTTAATACTTTAAACGAAATAAAGTAAATTTTCATAATAATTAATAATACATGTAATCAAAAAACGATGATTTTTTTATGTTAGTTCATATAATAATTATTATTTATGAATAGTTAATATTTATTTATTGATGTTAAAGATTTTAATTTTTAATAAATATAATAAAATTAGATTTGTAACAAAATAATTTATAAAGAATTACATACCAATCAATTACTTGATCATTGTAATGAGTAAATATTAAAATATTTAAGTAGAATAGTGCAAAGATTACTTTAAGAAGGTATAAATAGAAAATCGGAAGAAGGGAAGTTGGTAGGGTCATTTAAAGAAAATAGAAATCAGTTGTAAAGATCGATGGTTCTGGGAGCATCTGCAGTTGTATTTGGGAAATTGAAGGATGCAGAATGCGTTCCCTTTTAACAGAAAACTGACCTGAGTGTAGTGAACAGTGGATGTTTCAAAATTTTTAGTTTGCTCATTTGTATGTAAAATATTTTAAACGCGAATATAATATTGTTACCATGGTATGTAAATAATTCTATTTCTAATAATTTTTTTATATTTAATAAATCTTATATATGAAATTTCATTCCATATATAAATAAATGAATTACTGATGTATATACATTTAAATTATAAATCTCAACGTTAAAAATAGAGCTAGTCTATTAGATATGTTTCCATTTCCTTGACTAACAAGAAAGCGAAACGAATCATTATATAAGTTGAAAAATTATCACCCTCTAAATAAAAGACTCATAATTACAAGTTCATCTTAAGCATTCATTTTGCATGCTCTAAATTGAATTAATTCATTTTTTATTTATGAATGATTTCTCTTTTATTGATGAATTAATTGTGTTGAACTACATCATAATTAATTCATGTTAGACATTTCCTAATCAAAAAGTTGATTAAATATTGAAATGAATGATTTATTTAACATTTAATGTACATAGATTTAAATATGTTATTCAAACTAAGTGTATAAAAAGGCCTCTTGGTCTAGGGGTATGATTCCTGCTTTGGGTGCAGGAGGTCCCGGGTTCAAATCCCGGAGGGGCCCAATTCTTTTGTATTAAGAGTCTCATTTACTCCAAAACACATGTTGAATTTTTTCATAAAAACAAATGACGTTTTCTATTTGTTTTAATCACAAACGATTATATTGTTGAAGTTTTTTATGATTTTTGTTAAAAATATGACAATTAAAAGATGAAAATTTTAGTGTCATATTTAAATTTTCGCGCGAGAACTCCATTTCTCCTTCTCTTTGGGTTTTCATGATAATGTCGGCGCCTGCGCCACGAGCTGGTACATCGGAGCACAAAAACACAGCTGGTCTATGATCTCAATGATTCCTTACGCGAGTTGACGGTTGGATGTATCCATGTGATGTTTGAAAAATTACAAAAAAAAAAAATATTCACCTTTACTTTGTGGTTAAGTGTTTAAATTATTTTAAATACGTAAAAACAAGTGCTGGTGATTTAGTGGAAAATCGTGGGCTCTTTTACCGCCCTGTTGCCACAAGGATTTTTGTCCTGTCCTGGATACAAAAGAATTTAGTGAAATAACTAGCGTCCTGTTGGTGAGTTGGAATAATTCTATATTATTTTTTCATTGAATTTTCAGCCAAAGCTTCTAAATATTGTTCTGACTAAAAACCCTAACTTTTACCTTCACTATAACCTGTAATTGATAATTACTGTCCAAATCGTTTTTCCATTATTATTGACAATATTTTCTTCTGAACGAGGTAATTTTATTTTCTCTCAATTTATATTTATAGTAGATCCGAACATACTTATCAGCTTTTATCAACATATTTCTTAAAACGATGCAAATACGAAGCACAGTTTCGTATGATTGTTGAAAATATAGAGATTTCTTTGTTTCAAAGTCAATATTAGCACATTGATAGATAGATATAATAAAATGTCTCATTATTTTTATAAAATATATCAGAAGAAAATTTAAAAAATGCGGAGGTTGAAATTGTGTTCTTGAAAATCATTTCATTTTCTTTTCTTCTAACATTCTTAAAGCCTTTTTGAAAGAAACCTCGAGTGTCGAGCACTTGACTTACAACTTCCAAGATCATTCTTTCTTCGTGAATATATTCTATTACTCTTTATTTTATTTTTAACAAATAGATATCTATACACATTTTATATTCAATACTAGTCAATACTATGACGTTAATCCCTTTTATTTTTGCGACAAAAAAATTACACTCTATCCACATTCGACTACTATTTTTTTTTAAGTCAGACATAAAATTCTTTGTTAACAGAAAATGGAGAAATAAATCTATTCGTAATGAGACAATAAAATTTACTATTATTTTGTTTCTCAAAAATTTTATTGCTTGATTGTGTTCCATTAAGGAAATTAACTTCCAAGTGATTAATTAATGTTATGTGAGAAGGTGTAAAAATGAAAACTATATTCGTAATTCTTTTCTTTCTTATATTCTAGTATATTCTAATAATAACTCATAATAAAATCTACCGTCTTTTTAATTTCAATAATTTTTCATGATAAAATCATTGTTCGTATTTTATCAATTTAATTAATTACCATAATAATGAACATTGCTGTCACTCGATTTTAATTGATTATAAATGATATAAATCGGTTTTTCAGCCAGTTTCTATAAAATTTCCATTTCCTGGCTCAGTTAGCAACAAAACCTTCTTGGTTGTGTTCTTCAATTTTTTCAAGTCAGTAATGTATAATGTTCTAAAATGATTTTTGAATGGTAAAGTTAATGGATTATGGAGTAAAATAAAATTAGTGTGTATTGTTATTAAATGGTATTTAAATGAGTTACTAAATGGATCATACAAATGTATATAAATGACGTTTTCTCTTTCTCTTGTATATTGAGCACATTTTTTTCTGGTATCGATTTGTGTACACTAAGCTGCAGCGTGGCGACTCAGCTGTAAAGGTTCCATGCCACGGCCACCATCTGTTTGTCTTCTTTACCTTCTTCTTTTCTTCACGACTGTCTCTTTTTGTCTCCCTCAAAGATTTTACAGCCTTCCTCAGCTTCTCTACACCAGTTACAATGATGAGTCTTCAGATTAGGGAAATATTCACTCATATGTGACAAGGAATATTTCAAAAAATTCACTGATATTCTATATTTCGGAAGAGTTTTTTTAATCACGTGAGCCATGTGGTTAATATTAATTCATATACTCGGAAGTTTCGTAATAAAATGATGTTATCATAAAAATTTGATGATTAAATTGAAATAAATAAGCTCAGTTGTTCAGTGACATATATTTAGTTGTTTTTGTTTTATAAAGTTGTTTCATTACTTTATCGTCATGTGTTTGTTTCATTATTTTTATTCTTCACTGTAATCATAACTAGAACGGGAAGTAATTATTAACTTGTTCTTTGAATTCGTAACTGCACTCCGTTGGAACCGTTCACTCTCGCAGGGTCTACTAATGCAAGTTAACTAATGTAAGAATAAAAGTATGAAGGCGCCAGAATTATTAACAACAGCATACTATTTATACATTGAAAAAATGAATTTATTATAGTATTCTAAAAGTACAAGTGAAATAAAAAAATTACTCCTTAATAATTGAAAAGTAGTTTATTACAAAAAAATATTTCAATAATTTTTCTTTGTTTTTTTTTAATTAAAAACTGAAAACAATAGTAAGAATTTTTTTTTTTTTGCAAAAAATTTAAATTCACAAATTATAATATTCTAAACTCTATTCATACTCTATAATTCATTTCTGTGTATGTTATTTAATTATTTTCACATCGATACGAGACATAAATAATTATAAACCTCAACATGATTATCCAAGTCTTGAGAAAATACTGACCTACTACAGCAAAAGAAAAAAAAACATACGCATTGTCAATTCAAAATTATCATAAATATTTCACGAAATTATTTTCTTTTTATTTCTCAAAATTACTATTTCAACTACAGTGAAATTAATAATCAAGATAATTGTAGGTTTACTATAACCTTGGAAAGTACTATTTTTAAAGAAACTATAATTATCACAGTTACATTTTTTTTAATTATCTTTCTCTTAAGATAAATAATCGTATGATATTTTTAGAAGCAACCAAGTATCAATAAAAAAATGACAAGAAACAAATCAAATCATTTGACAAAAATGATGACATAAGCATGTGAATTTGTTGATCGAATAAGATCTGGTTTTAAGAATGCCCTCGGAACGTCATGCACGTATCAGAGAGATGTATTAGTTTCTTTCTTCGTTCATTGCAGCCAGTCATCTGCGGTCAAAAACCTGAGATAGAAGAAGAAACTGAGAAAGGTTAGAGACAGTTGATACTATACCTGTGTGATGAAAAAAAAGAAGTGCAGCTTGCACTGAGTCAGCTGGTCATCTTTGCATTAGCACCTGGTGACTCCTTGACAACTGAGAGAGTGTAGTCTTATTATATTTAATCATCTCAACACTGGTGTAATATTCTGTGAATACATGCAGTCCCCAAGACCTCGCCTGCTTAGCTTCAATTATTAGCATCATGTTCTTCTTCTTCGCTCTAGCCAAGATTATGTTTTTCTCAAGCGTTAAGTGGAAATGAAAGATATGTAATTGTAGCTGAATTTTTAGTTCAAGCTTTTAGATGATAAAGCTAATACTTTTTATTAAGTTTTTACAAAAAGAATCTTGGAGAATAACGTGGATTAATAATAGGTGGTTGGTTAATTTTTTGAAATTTATTACTCTGAAATCTGGATTCAAGTTTATACTGATAACGTATCTTTTGCAGGATTTATTACTGCTTTGTAAATAAAAATTTATTTTGATTTTAACACTGCTTGTTTTGGAAGTTGATAGGATAAAGGGATTGTTTATAAAGTTTTTTTAATGAAAGTCAATATATATATATTTTTTAACTACAGAGATATTTATAAAAAAAAAACTAATTATTACAAATTTCTCTTT